ATAGAGCGTTAGAAACATCTATGAGAGGAGAATCCAAGATGGCTGCGCCCAGGTAAACACCTAGCCGCAGTGCACACAACAATTTCAATAAAATACAACTAAATGTAAAATGGACATTACCCAGAACTACAGGAAAGTCGACTGACTGGAAATTTTACAACGAGAAGCAAGGAGAAAACCAGAAGGTAGCGCAGAGGAGCTGGAAAAGCCTAGCCTAAGGTATGGAGACACGCGGCACGCGGAGAGGACAGAGCCGGAGAGAAGGGCGGCTGAGTGCCTGGCAGGCGTTCCCTTGTGGGAAGGAGATAAACGCTCTGACTGTGTTGGGCCCCAGTTGTGACTGCTCTGAACCCCAGTTCTAGGCCAGACCCCAAGGGCCAATGCTCACACAGCGGGAGCTGGGCTGTAAGGCGAAACCCCAGGGGAGCGGCGAAAGGAGGTCCTGGGGGCGTGCACATTGTGCACAGAGAAGGGACGGTTGGCTGTTCTGAGGAATTGCCCTGGGGTGCAGGAGACAGGGGCTCCAGACTGCTCTGAACGCCACCTCCAACTCCGCTTCCAACTGAACTGAACCCCAATACCGGGCTCATTGGGGGAGAGCATAGACTGTTTGGTAGCAGGTGAAAATTGAGAACACCTTTCTCTCAGAGGTGCTTGCAGCAAGTACTGAAGGACCCTCGGGATTACTGAGACTGCATACGGCAGGGCTGACAGAAGCCAAGGCTGTAGGCTCCATCCTGAAACCCCGCCCCATCTGTAGCTGCGAAATGCGACAACAAAATAGATCACAAATGAAAGAAATGGAGGACAAAAAGCAACTGGATATAGAGTTCAAATCTACGCTTATAATGTTTTTCAAGAATTTCCTAGAAAAGATCGGTAAGACCAATGAGGATATGAAAAGAGATCAACTAGAATTAATAAAGAATCAACAAGAAATGATAAGGCATCAACAAGAAATGATAAGGGATCAACAAGAAATGATAAGTGATCTACAAGAAATAAAGAATACATTCTCTGAAATAAAAAATATTATACAGAGTCCTAAAAACAGAATGGAAGATCGCAAGAATCAAGTCAAAGATTTGGAACATAAAGAGCCAGAAGACACTCCTCCTCAGAAGCTAGAAGGCAAGAGAATCCAGAAAATTGAAGATAATGTAAGAAACCTCTAGGACAACTTCAAGCGAACCAACATCAGAATTATGGGGGTCCCAGAAGATGAGAGAGAGCAAGATATTGAAAGCATACTGAAAGAAATAGTGACAGAAAACTTCCCCCACCTGGTGAAAGAATTAGACTTACAAGTCCAGGAAGCGCACAGAACCCCAAACAAAAGGAATCCAAAGAGGACCACATTAAGACAAATCATAATTAAAATTCCAAGGGCAAAAGACAAAGAGAGAATATTAAAAGCAGCAAGAGCAAAGAAGGTAGTTACCTATAAAGGAGCACCTATACGATTGTCAGCTGACTTCTCAACAGAAACCATGCAGGCCAGACAGGAATGACAAGAAATATTCAAGGTGATGAATAGTAAGAACCTACAGCCAAAGATAATCTATCCAGCAAAGCTATCACTCAGAATCGAAGGCCAGATAAAGAGCTTCACTAATAAAAAAAAAAAAAAGCTAAAGGAGTTCATCACCGCCACAACAGAAGGGTTCCTTAGGAAGAGGATATAAAAATTATGAACAACAAATACATAACTATCAACAAGTGAATCTAAAAACCAAGGGAATTAAAAAACCTGATGAACAATATTAACTGTTGAATATAATAGAATCAGAGGTATGGAAGGGGAGTGGACTGATGATTCTCAGGGAAAAGAGAAGTGGGGAGTGCGGGAAGAGACTAAACATAAACTGTGCACCTATGGATGAGGAGAATGGGGGGGTGAGGAAAGGGCAGAGAGTGGGTTAGGAACCTGGAGGAGGGGGGAAAATGAGGAACTTTTGTAATAATATGAACAATAAAAGTTTATTTTAAAAAATGGCAATAAATAAGTACTTATTAATAATAACCTTAAATGTAAGTAGATTAAATGCTCTAAGCAAAACATATAGGGTAGCTTAATGAATACAAAAACATGACCCAATTATATGTTGTCTATAATAGAACCGTCTCAGAACAAAAGACTCACGCAGAATGAGAGTCGAAGGATGGAGAAAGGTTCCAGCCAAATTAAAATGGAAAAAAAAAAAAAAAAAAAAAAAAAACCTCAGTGAGCAATACTCATAATCTGGGGAGAATCAAGATGCTGGGGTAGGTAAATGCAAGTATTTCCGACCTCTGACAACCACGTTGAATGACAACTAAAATACAGAACAACCATCACTCAGGACTGCCTGAAAGCTGGCTGAATGGAAGCCCTACAACTAAAGAAGTAAAGAAGAAAGCACATTGAGACTGGTAGGAAGGGCAGAGGCATGGAACAGGCTGGTCAGGCACCAATGTGGGCCATTTCTTTAATCCAGAGGGAGATTGTCCTGTGTAGGATGCCGCAATGAGTAAGGGGTCCCAGCCCCACATCAGACCCCCTTCCCATGGTCCGAGAGCTGGGAAGAGAAGTCCCCATAACTTCAGGCTGTAAAAAACAGCAGAGATTGTGGCTGAGGGGCAGGGAGGCTGCTGGAGACCCAGGTATCCCTCTTAAAGGGTCAGGCAAACTTACTCATATTTGCTTTCTCTAAGCAACAGCACCAGCAGGTGTTGGGAAACTGGATTGTCTGGCATCAGGGCAAAAACCCAGGGGTGGCTTTCTACCTGACAGAAGTGCTCACAGGGGTCATTGTTCCTATGCCAAGACTTATCCTGTCCCAGGGCTGGCTGGCAACTCTGTCTGAGTTCCCATCAACCTGGAACACACTGTTTGCTCCACTCTGGTGATTCCCTGAGACCCAGCCCCATTCAATTTGCAGCATGCTGTTTGCAGAAGCTTTTCCATATGAATGATCTGCCCTGGCTCAGGCTTCAGAATTTGGGAAAATCTCTTAAACAAGCAGCAGCTGGGCCCAACGTGCCCCAAATCTAACAATAAAAGGTTCCCAAGACCCATAACAAGCACTGGCATGCATTGATTCATAGATGGGCCTCACCTGGGCACTTCCAAACCTCATACAAATAAGAGGAAGGGCCAAAACCAGTTTGGCTCAGTGGTAGAGCATCGGTCTGCGGACTGAAAGGTCCCAGGTTCGATTCCACTCAAGGGCATGTATACTGGTTGTGGGCACATCGCCGGTAGGGGGTGTGCAAGAGGCAGCTGGTCAATGTTCCTCTCTCATCGACGTTTCTAGTTCTCTATCTCTCTCCCTTCCTCTCTATTAAAAATCAATAAAGTATATTTTTTAAAAAATAAATAAGAGGAAAAAGCAGACCTCTCTATAGTCTCTGCCAGGTGGCCCCAGACAGCACTAATTTTGACCCTCCCTAGAGACCCAAGAGCCAGTGAACCAAGCTTCAGACCATACCAAATTACAACTCTATGCATTCGCAAGTGACACACTCAAGGGGCAGACTCAGTGAGCACCAGAGTCCTACTTAAGCAAGTCCTGTTCCATATGAGTGTCTCCTGCATAGCAGCTCTCCAACTGTAATAGCATCCGTTCCTCACAACCAATTGATCTGGAGGTCAATTCCCCCAGTGACACCAACAGCAATCAAGTCTCAGGTATAAGACTGGGTGCACACCCCACAAATGGACACACTTAGAGTGCCCAGCTCAGGTGACTATGGAGGGTAATCCACTGGGCCCTATAGGATACCTCCTACACAAGGCCACTCTACCAGCTCAAGGAAACATAGCAGCTCTACCCAATACATAGAAACAAACACAGTCAAAATGTGGAGACAAAGAATCATGTCACAAATGAAAGAAACAGAACAAAGTAAACTACTGGATACAGACTTCAAAACAATGGTTAAAAGGTTACTCGTGGATCTTCAAGAGTCCTTAAAGGGACTTGGTGAGACTTTCAAGGATCTTAGTGAGAATTTCAAAAACATTGGAGGGAAAATGTCAGAAATTAAGCACACACTAACTGAAATAAAGAATAACTTACAGGAATTCAACAGCAGAAGATTCCAAGAATCAAATCAAATCAATGATGTGAAATATGAGGAAGCAAAAAACAACCAATCAGAAGAGTAAAAAGAATACAAAACTATGAAGATAGTGTAAAGAGTCTCTATGGGATAACTTCAAGCATATCAACATTCATTTCTTGGGGTGTCAGAAGGAGAAGAGAGAGAGCAAAATATTGAAAACCTATTTGAAGAAATAATGACAGAAAACTTTCCCTATCTGGTTAAAGAAATAGACTTACAAGTCCAGGAAACACAGAGTTCCAAACAAGAGGAACGCAAAGAGGCCTGCACAAAGGCACATCATAATTACAATGCCAAGGGTTAAAGACAATGAAAGAATCTTAAAACCAGCAAGAGAAAAGCAGTTAGTTACCTACAAGGGAGCACCCATAGGACTGTCAGATGACTTCTCAACAGAAATTTTACAAGCAAGAAGGGAGTGGTGAGAAAAATTCAAAGTGATGAATAGTAAGGACCTACAACCAAGATTACTCTACCCATCATTTAGAATTGAAAATCAGGTAAAGAGCTTCACAGACAAAAAAAAAGCTAAAGGAGTTCATCACCACCAAACCACTATTACATGAAATGTTGAAGGGTATTCTTTGTTTTTTAATCTTTATTGTTGAAAATATTACATATGTCTCCTAATTTCCCTCATTAACCTCCTCCACCCCACCCCCATGTCCTACCCCAGGCTTTCACCATCTAATTGTCCATGTCCATGGTTTATGCATATATACATATATGGTCTCTGATTGATTACCTCCCATCCACCCACATTTTCCCACTTCCCTCTGAGAAATCACATTCTTTTCCATGCTTTCATGGATCTGGGTCCTCTCTGTTCATCAGTTTATTTTGTTAGATTCCACATATGAGTGAGATCATGTGATATTTATCTTTCTCTGACAGACTTATTTCATTTATCATGATACTCTCCAGGTCCCTCCATGTTATCTCAAAGGTAAGAGATTCTTCGTTATTACTGCTGCATAGTATTTCATGGTCTAAATGTACCACAGCTTTTTATCCATGGGCATTTGGGTTGTTTCCAGATCTTAACTATTGTAAATTGTGCTGCTAGGAACATAGGGGTGCATACTTGTCATTTGTTAACTTGTTGATACTAGCCATTCTGAAAGGTGGGAGGTGATACCTCATTGTCATTTTAATTTGCATCTCTCTGATGATCAGTGACTTTGAGCATTTTTTCATATGTGTCTTGGCCATCTGTATGTCCACTTTGGAAAAGTGTCTACATAGGTCCTTTGCCCATTTTCTTATTTAATTGTTTGTCTTTTGTTAAGTTGTATGAGTTCCTCATATATTTTGGATATTAACCCTTTATCAGATGTATCATTGTCATATATGGTTTCCCATAGAGTGGGCTCCTTTTATGTTTTGTTGATGGTTTCTTCTACTGGGCAGAAACTTTTTATTTGGATGTAGTTTCATTTGTTTATTTTCTCCTTAGTTTGTCTTTGCCCTAGGAGGTGTATCCCTAAACATATTGCTACAAGAGAAGTCTGAGATTTTGCTGTCTATTGTTTCTTCTGGGATTTTTATTGTTTCCCAACTTATGGAGTCTTTTATTTATTTTGAGTTTATTCTTGTGTATGGTGTAAGATGGTGGTCTAGACATTGTTTGCATGTATCTGTCCAATTTTCTTGAAGTGTATTTTTTAAGAAGAGGAAGGAGAAGCAGAATAAAAAATGATTAAATGGTGCCAAAACCTGTTTGGCTCAGTGGATAGAGTGTTGGTCTGCGGACTGAAAGGTCCCTGGTTCAATTCTGGTCAAGGGTATGTAGGCACATCCCCAGTAGGGGGTGTGCAGGAGTCAGCTGGTCAATGATTCTCTCTCATGATGTTTCTAGCTCTCTATCCCTCTCCCTTCCTCTCTGTGAAAAAAATCAATAAAATATATTTTTAAAATAAAATAAAATGGCAATAAGTACATATTTACCAGCAATTGAATCTAAAAATGAAAAAAAAAAATTGAGCAAGAAATATAATGAACAAAATAAACTGGTGAATAAGAATCAGAGGAAAGGGAGAAGTGGGTGTGGGAAGAGATTAACCAAAGATCTTATTTGCTTATATGCATTAAAAAGGGACACTGACAATAGGGTGGTGAAGGCCTGGGGTGGTTCCTGGGTAGAGGCAGACTATGGGGGGAGAGAGGGAAGGTATATCTGTAATACTCTCAACAATAAATATTTTTTAAAAATAATTATTCTTCTTTTGAAAAACAGCTTTTATCTTGTTAACGGCCTTAGTATAAACTGAATGCTTGACCATGGGCCACCAAATTACCATGCAACCTGACTTGTCTGTGCACTAGGGAAAAGGAAATAATCAGATATTTCCTGAACTGACCCTAGTTCCATCATGAAAGGGGTGTTATCTGACCACCAAGTCAGAAAACTAGGCACGGACAGAGGAACTGCATCATCAAGTGGAAACGGTATATACATGATATGGCCTGAGCAAGCCTGAAGTCACAAGTAAGTTACATGAACAAGTAGTTTGAATATCCATGGCCCCCACTCCTGCTACACTGTCCTCTCTTACTGTGACAGCTGTGGGGATTTCCCTACAATTTGTTGATGGAGAGAAACTTGGGCCTGGTTTATAGACTGTTCTGTGTGATATGCAGGCAATATTGGACAGTGGACAGCTGAGCTACTGCCCCTTTCTGGGACATCCCTGAAGTACAGTGTTGAAAGAAAATCCTCTCAGAGGGCAGAGCTTCAGGCAGCGAAACTAACTGTTCACTTTCTTTCAGGGGATAAAAGGCCAGATGTGAAATTAGCTGATGATTTAGCTGAATGTCAGAGATTTGAACATAACTGGAAAACTGGTAACAAAGAGGTCTGAGGGTTAAGCATATGATAGACTTCTCTGAATGCACACTATTTGCCTCAGGAAAAGAGGATTTTCATAACCAAGTGGATAGGATGACCTGTTTTTTTGATGCTAGTCAGACCCTTTCTGCAGCCAACGCTGACATCACTTGCTGGGTGCATGAACAAAGTGGCCATGGTAGCAGGAATGGAGGTTATGCATGGGCTCAGCAGCACAGACTTCCACTCCCCAAGGCCAACCTGGCTATGGCCACCACTAAGTGGCCAATCTGTCAGCGCAGAGACCAACCCTGGGCCCCTGACATGGCACCACTCCCAGGGTGATCAGCAGCTACCCAGTGGCAGGGTGATTACACAGACTACTTCCATCATGGAAAGGGAGTGTTTCATTTCATTTGAATAGACACTCACTCTGGATACAAATTTGCCTTTCCTGTACACATGCTTCTGCAAAAGCTACCATCCATTGACTCAGAGAAAGCCTATCTTACATCATGGTACTCCACATAGCATTGTTTCTGATCAGCAGACTCACCTCATGGCAGATGAAATGCAGCAGTGGGAACATGCCCATGGAAATCACTGGTTTTGCCATCCTGAAATTAGCTGTCTTGATAGAAACATGGAATGGACTTTTGGGAATGCAGTGGCACCAGATGGGTGACAACACCTTGCAGGATGTGGGAAAGTATTCCAGGAAGCCATATATTCTCTGAATATGTGATAATGTTTTTCCCATAGTCAGGATTCACAGGCCCAGGAATCAATTGGGGGAATGGGAATGATCTTTCTCATCATTACCTCTAATAATCTGGCAGCAAATTTACTGCTCCCTGTCCCCAACACATTATGCTCTGCTGGCCTAGAGGTCTTAGTTCCAAAGGAGAAATGCTTCCACCAGGAGATGCAACAATGACTCTTTTTGGACACATCAGGATTCTCAAGCTATCCAGAAAGTGCAGCACCTTGGAGAGTGCCAATCTCAGCCTCCTCCTTTCCTCACAGGGGTCAGAGGCTAGTGTACCAGAGATTGTGAGGGGGCAGCCACCACAGGGCCAGCTGCCTAGAATGGGAACAGGGAAGGCCACCGGCTGAGGCTATCCACAGAGGCCAAGGTATGTCCTGTTGTCTGAGTCCCAGGACCCAGGGTCATAGGGTCTGACTCATAACAGATGCTCAGTGAACACGCATTAAATGGCCCAGCCAGCATGACTCAGTAGTTGAGCATCAACTTATGAACCAGGAGGTCATGGTTTAATTTTCAGTCAGGGCACATGCTCGGGTTGCAGGCTTGATCCCAGTATGAGATGTGCAGGAGGCAACCAATCAATGATTCTCTCTCATCATCGATATTTCTCTTTCTCCCTCTCCCTTTCTCTCTGAAATCAATATATATATATATATATATATACTCATTAAATGGATGAGGAAACCACACAACAGATACCTGTCACCACTTGCGACACCCAGGTGGGAGCATGTTCCTTATAAACACAAAGGCATTGGTGTCAGCAATCTAGACATGTGCCCTGACTGGGAATCGAACTGTGACCTCTTGATTCATAGGTGGATGTTCAACCACTGAGCCACTGAGGCACATTGGCTAAGTTCTTGTAGTTTTTTTTACCCCATGGAAAGGCCTTTACCCCTTTTAGTTATCAAAAAAGGACATTTCTAACACGAGAGGTTGGAACACCCTTCATTCCCAGAAAACCATAGTATTCCCCATCTCTACCTTATGAATGACTTCTCCTGGGGGAGAAGCTAACTAGAAGAGTTCTTTCTCTTCTTACAGAGACATGCATGGTGCAAACTCTGGCTTCACCACCTCAGATGGAGTCAGGCCTGGGGAAGAAGAGAGTCCATCATGACCACAAAGGAATCAGGGGACAACTCCCTGTAGAGGGCCCCTTGGGAATGCACATGGATGACCTTTAAATTAATGTCAGCTGAGTCCAAGGTGACTGGCATGGTTGTCCCCCAGAAACAGCCTCCCAAAATGTTATCAGTACTGATTTCTTATCTTTATCCATGTGCTTGGAATGAAGAACAAATAGGACCTTGACTTACCCGGGTCTTGACATGCTAAATCCCAAGAATGAGGGAATGAATAGTGTTACGAAGCGAGTCCCCAAGAGATGGACCACCGGAGCCAATTTGATTAAGCATGCTAGAGTTTATTACAGATTCGAATCCGGGCTCAAACCATGGCTGACGCAGCAGCCGGCAAACACCCAGGTGAAAGCCCCGAGGGAGGGGCAGTCCCTCCAGAGCGCTCACACAAAAACACAGACAAACACACACCTACCGCGGCCAGTCAGGCTCTTCGGAATGGGGGTCCCTCATGGTCCTGGCTGGGGATTCCAGTCATGATCCCCAAGGACCACCAGGGAGCCGAGTCCGATGCAATAAACAAAAGAGCCATCTCTATGCTAGCATAGGCTATCCCACTCATGCCGGCAGCATGGCGGAAGAGAGCGAATATCGCCCAGTCCAGGAGTTTTATTCAGGTAGGTGATGTCACTGCCTCGGCTAACCCTGATTGGCCCCTCAGGACTAAATTCTAAAGACTGGGGACGGCCTGCAGGGTTGGTTCCCAGTCACATCTGCTTGACATTGGATGTGGCCCTATCTTGCCTATAATACAAAAGCAGAACTAAAGGTTATCTACAGTTTCTACCCCTGAAGCTACTGAGTCAGTGGGAGTCAATCTCCTGTAACTACCCTATTGTTTAAGCAAGCAATCGAAGGTAGAAGTCAGATAGCAAGGTTAAAATTCAAACAGCAGTTTTTACCCAAGTATGAGTGCTACCATATTTCAAATAGGACCTGGGCACACCCAACACTTCTTTGACCTTAAAGCCCCCTCTGGAAATCAATACATGCCCTGTGATGTCTGTGGTGGGTGGTTGACTATCTCTCCATCAAAGTGACAGCATCCCACCAGGATCCCAACTTGAATCTATTTCTGTGTCTTGGTCTCCTTTTTTTTTTTCTTTAATTTCCTTTTTTATTTAATACATTTTATTGATTTTTAACAGAGAGAAAGGGAGAGAAATAGAGAGCTAGAAACGTCGATGAGAGAGAAACATCAACCAGCTGCCTCTTGCACACCCCCCACCGGGAATGGGCCCGCAACCAAGGTACATGCACTTGACCTGAAACAAACCTGGGACCCTTCAGTCCGCAGATCGACGCTCTACCACTGAGCCAAACCAACTTCAGTTTTTTTCTTTAATTCCTTAATCCCCAGCTCCTCCACTCAGGAACCTGTCATTTTCCGTGTGAATCCCGGAAAACATAGAAACAGCCCCCACCACAACTCCCCATCACCGGGTCCTGGTGGTCTCCAGAAAACATCTCACCAGCCAGCTCATGATGTCCTGGGGAACAAGGGGAACTTCTCATGTAGGATGGGACAAGAGAACCCAGAATCTGTGTGGTCCCTTCCATCTCAGAGGGGCTGAGGGTCTCATAGGGTCTCCCCATCCTGTGGCTGAGTCTCCACGTGGAGCTTCTCCAGCTCCTTGGCCATGTACAAAGGCTTAGAGCAGATGTCAGACAGGGACACAGATGCGTTGGATGCAATGCCACAGGGCAATCTATGGATCAGCCCCATAGGCTGGCTTCCTCTCTAGAAACACTGAAGAGAACCCTCATGTGGTCCTTCCTTTGAAACTTGGGGACAAAGAGCTCCTCCAAAGACAACACATCCCCCAACAGGGGATGAAGTGCGGGGGGAGAAGGTTCTCATGACACTGGTTCAGGATTCCTCTGGACAACACCTGTCCTCTCACTGGCTTACCCTGCCCTGGATAGAAGTCAGGCAACCAGTGACCCACAGTGACAGGGACCTGAGGTGAATAGCTCTCAGCCTTGAGGTCAGAGCCCATCTCTGCCCAGGGCTCAGGGTCAGCTCAGGGTCAGCTCCCACCCTCTGGAGCAGGTCAGCATTCCTGGTGCAGCCCCTGACATTGGCCACTGGTCTCTTCTGTCCTCCAGGTGGCAACATTGAGACACACAGAGGACACACATGAAATTAACACATAATATGGCTTTGGCTAAGGAGTGGAAAAAGAGTCTGATTTCCATACCACAGAGCCTTCTGAGTTCCTCCCACATGTCTACTCTGTCCCACCTGTTCCTTTCAGGGGCCTAAGAGCACCTGCTCTGCCACAGGTCCCTATGCTGCTCCCCACTCCTTGCCTGGCATCGCCCATGAGCAAGGTAGGGTGACCACAGAAAATTCCCCCAGACAGACAGGACAAAGGCTGCCCAATGGTCAGGGAGCACATGGACAGTCTCAGCCACCAGACCCGGAAAGATAGGGTCCCCCTGAAGTTGTCCCTGTAGACCAGGGATCCCACAGCCACCTGACCTCCCACCAACATCTTTATTCCCAGGACACCCTGGAACTGTAGGGCCTTCTGGGACACCCAGTCCTGGTCTCCATCCCTAGAAGTATAGGCCAAGCTGGTGACACCTGGAGAGAAGGTAGGTCCCCTCTTCACTCATCACCCAGCGTGCCCCTTACCCACGCCCAGAGTACTCTCTATGGCCTTCCTACTGGGAGGAAATCCAACCTTGCCAGTGCTTTTGAGAACATGGGGAAGACCCAGTGCTGGGCTGGGTTGACTGTCACAAATGGAAATAATCCCCAGGTTTGGGGACCTTCAGGGTTATCTGTGTGGTGCTAAAGGACCAGGTGCAAGACCAAGACACAGCAAAAACCAATGCTGGGGTGAGAGGGTTGTCTTCCCAGCAAAAGGGGTCTCCATCAGCCTTGCTATTGAAAATGTGCTTCAATGCTCTTGCAATTATTAAAATAAATTTTTATTGATTTCAGAGAGGAAGGGAGAGAGAGATAGAAACATCAATGATGAGAGAGAATCATTGATTGGCTGACTCCTGTACAACCCCACTGGGGGTCAAGCCTGCAATGCAAACATGTCTCCGGGAATCAAACAGTGACCTTTTGATTCATAGGTGGATGTTCAACCACTGAGCCACACCAGCCAAGCTCTTGTAGTTTTTTAACAGCAATGTAGATATTCATAAGAAATGTCAACTGTAACATTAAGTTGTATTTATTAATAAACATTGGAGCCCTGGCCAGTGTGACTCAGTGGTCAGAGCATTAGCCCATGTACCAAAGGGTCAAGGATTCAACTTCCAGACAAGGGAACCTACCTGGGTTGCAGGTTTGCTCCCAGGCCCAAGTCAGGCATGTACAGGAGGCAACCAAACCAATTGATGTGTCTTTCTCACGTTCATGTCTCTCTATATCTCTCTATCAGTCTCCCTCTCCCTTCCTGCCTTCCATTCTCTCTCTCTCTCTCTCTAAAAACACAAAACAAACTAACCAACAAAAACACTTGGATGGAGGAAGAGGAGGAGGAGGAGAAGGAGGAGGAGGAGGAGGAGGAGGAGGAGGAGGACGAGGAGGAGGACGAGGAGGAAGCAGCCTTAGATTTTCATTTCTGTGTTTTGTTCACTGCTGGATGGCCAGCTTTTTAAAAGGGTTTGGATGAGCAGTATAAATTCAACAAATATTTGGTAAATGTGCAGAAAAGAGAGAGAGAGAGAGAGAGAGAGAGAGAGAGAGAGAGAGAGAGAGAGAGAGAGAGAGAAGAAGAAGAAGAAGAAGAAGAAGAAGAAGAAGAAGAAGAAGAAGAAGAAGAAGAAGACGACGACAGAGGAGGAGGAGGTGGAGGAGGAGGAGGAGGAGGAGGAGGAGGAAGAGGAGGAGGAGGAGGAGGGGAAGGGAGGGAGGGAGAAATGGAGGGAGGGAGAGAGGAAGGGAAGGGGGGACAGAGGGACGGAGGGACGGAGGGACGGAGGGACGGAAGGACGGAGGGAGGGCGTTTCACAGTCCAGTAAGATAAACCCACGCTGAGAGCTTGCCAGAGGAAGGGTCTCTGGTCCACCTCACATCTGCCTAGTCAGAATCTGCATTTCTAACCAGATCAGACCCTCCCTGAGCACAGGAGGGGAGCAGAGCTACACCACTCCCACATCATGGGTCTCAGCCTGGCAGGCATCCACATTAGCTGGCCAGTTGATGAAGCATCATTTCTACAGAATCCTGTAGGCATCACAGTCTTTACCACGTTCCACAAGTGATTCCGTGCACAATGGGATGACATCCCTGTGACAAGAGTTCCTTCCTGATGTCGCCCCAGGACTCCTGCTCTGAAACATAAACCAGAAGGGTTATGAGAGGCCCCAGGGGGCGCTGCTGTGCTCCCAACGTGGAGCTCTGGGGAATGCCCAGGACCCTGATGTTCTAGCTTGTGCTTGTCCAAACAGGTTATGCATGTGAGAAGGTGTGTCAGAGGTCAGGGAGTGGAGGTGGGGGACAGTAGGGGTGGGGATGGAGTAGAGTCACTGTGGGAAAAGGCAGAGGCCTCAGCAGTTCCTAGGGTCTGAAGGCAAATGAGAAGCAGGGGAGAGAGGAATTGGGGAGGGAAAGGAAGAGTTCCTGGCATAGACCCCGCCCCTATCCCCTTGACAAGGGAACTACTCAGAAGCCCTAAGAGACTCACCACGACTGGAAAAGGACAGCAGATCACCCGCTTCAGGAGAGCATTGCCTGTGAGCGATTCTGAAGTGGAAGTTTTTCTCATAGAGGGAGGGACCATGGAGTCCCCTTCAGGCCCTGCTCCCAGACCATGCGTCTGGCAGGGGCTCCTGCTGACCGGTAAGGAGCGGACAATCCCTGGGGTGGACAGGGAAAGGGGAGACAGAGACTGGCTGTGGTCTCCTGGGTAGCACAGTGCTCTGAGAGGGGACAGAGGGCTTCTGTTTGGACCTGAGGGAGAGGACAATGGAGCACAGTAGGATGAGGGAGGGGGCTGAGCAGCAGGGCAATCCCATGATCTGGAGCTGGTGAGGGGCAGAAAACCTAGATCATGGTAGGTTTTACAAGTTACTCCTCACTGAGAAATAATTTCTGAAAACTGATAATTTGTGTCAGGGTGACACAAGGAAAACCTAACTAGGGGCACTAAGCGTTGTCTTCACCACCAACCGCAGAACTGGGTACATACACCCCAGCGGGTGCAGGACCCTGGGAACATTTATTCATTCACCTGCAGGTATTTGTAGCCTGTTGCAGGTACTAGGGGTGCAACAACATCAGACAAGCCCTTTCCCCCCTGGAGCTCATGTTCCAGGCAGAGAAGATAGACAAAGAAACAACCACAAGTGCCTTGTAGGAAACAGAGCAGAGACAGGTCAGAAAGTGAAAACAGCCTCTTTAAAGTGTCAGTGAAGTGTATTCCCAGAGCTGAGTAGGTGGGCAAACAGCTGGGAAAGTTCTCAAAACAGAAAAAAATAACAGGTTCAGAGGTGCTGAAGTCAAGGTGCTCTAGCTGCTGGCCTTGACCACAGGAGACACACACATACTCTGACCAAGGTTGAGAGATGAAGAGACCTGCTCAGGACCCAGGCCCTCATCTCTCCTTCCCAGAACAGAGCTCCAAATCTTGATCAACTTTTCTCTTCCCTCCTAGCCTCACTCCTAACCTTCTGGAGCCTGCCCACCACTGCCCAGTTCACTATGGAATCAGTGCCGCCCAATGCTGTCGAAGGGCAGGATGTGCTTCTCCATGTCCCCAACCTGCCTGGGAATGTTGCAGCCTATCACTGGTACAAAGGGAAAGTATGGGAGGACTTTAGACTTGTAACATATACAATACAGACTCAAAACATGACCTATGGGCCTGCATACAGCGGTAGAGAGACAATATACCCCAATGGATCCCTCCTACTCCAGAACGTCACCCTGAACGACACAGGAAAGTACGTCCTACAAGTCATACTAAAAGATTATGAAAACAAACATATATTTGGAGAGCTCCATGTATACCGTGAGTAATTGCTCTCTAACCTCTGGGTGCCAAGTGGGTGAACTCTACTTCACACACAGGGCTAAGAGCCCTGGACTCCCCTCCATCCCCCTCTGCATTACGTTTTGGGCATTTAGTGCAGGACACATACGGTGGAGACAAACTTACTAAATTCAGAGTTCCCTTCCCAGATTCCAGCCCTGCAGACATTCTCCACAGAGAGAAAACCAGTCTGATGGGAGTGACTCAGCAGAGGAAGACCAGTCTTACCCCAGGCTCCTAGGCCCCTCCCATGACCATGACCCTGAGAAAGATTATGCAGGGCATGAACTGACTGGCCCCCCGGATCCTCACAGAGCTCAGAAAAAAAGGGGCAGCCCCTCCCCAGACATCAGTCCCAGGGCTCCTGACTCCAGGGTCCCTGAGGAGCCTGTCAGGTTGGGTTTGGTCTGTGGCAGGGTTGACTGGGAGCATCAGTTTCCCAGGTACCCAAGTCACAGGCTCCTGAGCTGGTTACCAGCCAGAGCTCAGCCTCAAGAGCCACGTCTGGGCAGGGATGGAGCCTGGTCCTTCACCTGAGACCATGTGAGGAGAGCAAATGTGGACTGGTTCCCAGGCCATTAGCCAACTGCCCTGGGAGACATAGCAGAATCCAGAGGAAGGTCAGCATCCCCAAAGAGGAAGAGAAGATGCTCCTGGCAGCTCCTGTCTACCAAGGATCTGGCAAGGGAGTCCTCTCTCATGGACAAATAACAGATGATGTTAACTTGGGAAGCTCCTCTTTTCCTAACTTTAAGTCAGTAAATGGCAAAAGATTTAAGGTTCATTCAAAGACAACATGGCAAACATAAGACCATTTACCATTTATTCTGTTTTATTCAGGGGAAACTGAGTTACAGGGGAATACAGCACTCAATCAGAGTCACGCACACTATAACAGGCCAATCAGAATCATTCCAAGGTCTTTCTGCAGTTAACAGCCCATCCTCACCTCCACTCCAAGGGCCTTATTATGCATTTGTAGACCCTGAAACCAACTATTGCTTCAGATCCTTTCTTCTTAGGTGTTCCCAACACTGAGGGAGATAGTCTGGTCTGAGAAGTGATAACAAATGGAGAATTGTTCTGCTTTTTATTCTAAAATCAAATTACCTGCAATAATATTCAGAGTCAGTAACATTCAGAGTCAGTACTGGGAACACCTAGGTCCTCCCCTCAGGTGGCCTGGAAACCACTTGTTTCCTGATGTGTTAGTATCACTGCCACTAGGTATAAAGGGAAGGACTTTGCCTTCTCACTCCTCACTCTACACCTGCATCCAGCTCAGGGACAAACAGGTAACACATACCCAATTGCTTGTAATGAAGTAGTAAATAATTGTGGTCAAGAATGAATGGTAATGTCTAAAGAGACTGGAACCTGGATGCAGAGTTCCAGACCCATGTTGCATTCCTCTAACCACCTGTCCCTGAATACCTCCCTTGCCAACTGCCCCCAAAAGCCAAGCCTCATGGTGACTGGGTCTGTTCCCCTGTGGAAGGTTGTTCCAGCCTACACTGGTCCTGCCTTGGGATAGAGGTGGGACTTTGGTCTCCGGGGTCTTTGAAATCACCTGTGACCTGTGCTGCTCACTACCAATCACATTTATGGGACTCTATACACATTCCATTATCCTCATCTGTCTCCTCCTTCACTCCAGCCACACTGCCTTACTCTGCTCTGCTTTCCCCACTCTGCAGTCTCCCCAGATTGTCCTGCTAACACCTGTGTCCAGACCCACCCTCCCAGGCAATAGCAGAGGACACAGAAGTCGGGAGGAGCAGCAGCCTCAGTTCCATCATCAGTTAGTTTCTCAGGTCACCAGGAGAAAGAGTTTCTGCTGGGCTCCAATCATGGCTCTTTTCCCTCTCTCTCTCTCTCTCTCTCTCTCTCTCTCTCTCTCTCTCTCTCTATATATATATATATATATATATATATATATATATATATATATATATATCCACCCTCTCCCACCCCCCATGAAGCCAAGAGGGACAGGTCGCATGACAGAGACATGGGAGTCAAAGGCAGAAGGACAGGTCTCAGTCCCCAAAGCTCATGTTCACACTTCACCCCTGACTCATGCATGAATCACCCTCCTCCTGGTGTGAGGCTGCCATTCCTCCCACTGGCTCACGACACCTTCCCAGGGTGAGCCTGGTGCCCCTGCACCATCTAACTGTTTCACTGACTTTTTCATAAATGTGCTCTCATGATGACACTTTGACCACAGGATGGGATCCTCTCAGATTGTGAGATCCACAGCTACTCTGCTTTCTCTGAGAAGCTGACCATTTGAATGAATTTGACTAAACTCCACGTTTTTCCTCAGTTAGAAAGAAAGGAAGAGCACATGCCACATACCCTTGTAGGGGCTCCTCCCCATCTGCCTGACTGTCCATAGAAACAGAGAGGGATCTTTTCCCTAACTTGACTAACATGCCACATGTGCTTTCTACCAATATGGTTTCATCCCTCCCTTTATATAGCAGAGACACCTGGGATCACCCCTGGGACACATCTGTTCCCTTAGCAGGACTCACCTTCTCTCTATCCCAGGGAGTCCCTCATTTCAAACCCACTGTGGCATCTTCCTTTGGTAACAGTATGACCCAGTTGGATGGCAGAACTTGGTCTATGACTTTAAGTGCTCTTTGGGCATGAGTGAATCTTTTCACATATTCTTTCACAGTTTAACTCAAAATCTATCTCATAACTGCCAAACACAAATGGTATATAAAGGGCTATATTTTCTTTTTTCTTTTTTTTCTTTTTTTTCCTTTTTTTTTTTTTGAAATTATGAATGAATTTAATTTCAGTATAATTAAGACAAAAAACAGCAACTAATTTGTCACCTTGCACAGAAATTTAACAGAAGAGGTTTAAACTTATTTATTTGCCAACATTTTCTTCATAGCATAGATATAGCTAGAATCAAATCTATCTCAAAAGTTTAGGACATTCTCTCCCTTTTATTAATACTCAATGAGAAACAACACTTAGAATAAAACTTTTCCATAAATAAGGGATAGTAATATCCACAAGGTAAGAAATGATGAACTAAGTACGAGGCTGTTTTATTATGGCCTTCATTTTATCGTTATAAACCTGGTTTAAAAATCCTGGATTTTTTTCCTCCAGACATTCAGAAATCATATTTTTTTATTTTTCATTATAGTTCTCTAACCTTAATCTCCTAACATGTTCCAGTGCATTATGTGAGTGCTCAATCAAAGAAGTTAGGTTGTTCTCCACAACTGGCTCTCTCCTAAAGGTCAAAACCGACAGCGCCAGCCCTGGCCGAGCTCCGCGAACTGCCCATGGCTTGAAGTAAATTTTTGTGGGGATTTTTTTTTGTTTTTTTAGTGATATTTTTCGGTGGAGTCCTATCGGCGATAGACGGTCGGACAGGTTATCCCATCTCTCGCGCTAGATTGACGGGCTCAGGCAGCACTCGAAAATGGCCAGGGCTATATTTTCAACAAGTTCATGCTACCCCACCTCCACAAGCCCCCCTTCTGCAGGTGCTATTGTCTGAGTGTTGAGGAAGGATCCCTGCCCTCTGCAGTGGCAGAAAGGACATTACAGACCAAGGGCAGAGAGCCTGGCTCTGCTGCCAATGCCAGCCAGCTCCCACCATCCCTCACTCTTTTCTAAATCATTCCTGGACTTGCCTCTGCCCTTTCTGGGGTCACTGCCTCATGTCAACCACCAGCGAACTCATGGGCAGACAGCCACATCTCATGGCCCAGCAACCTGAGTTCTGAACTAACAACCAGACTTGCTTCTGCTCTCCCGTGTATTGTTTCTTTTTCTTTTCTTTTTTTAAATAAATCTTTATTGTCCAGATTATTAAAATGTTCCCCTTTTTTTCTCCCATAGCTCCCCTCCAGCCGATCCTCTCCCCCCTCCCCACAACCAATGCCCTTATGCCCCACCACTGTCCTCATCCTAGGTGTAAGATATTTTTCCAATCTCTTGCCGCACCCCTCACACCCCTTTGCCCCCAAGAATTGTCAGTTCACACCCTTTCTATGCTCCTGATTCTATTATATTCACCACTTTATTATTCTGTTATCAGACATTTTATTCACTTGATTTTTAGATTCACTTGTTGATAGATATGTATTTGTTGTCACTTTGTTATTCATAATTTTTATCTTTACCTTTTTTTTCTTCTTCCTCTTCTTAAAGAATACCCTTCAGCATTTCATGTAATTCTGGTTTGGTGGTGATGAACTCCTTTTGTTTTTTTCTAATCTGTGAAGCTCTTTATCTGACCTTCAATTCTAAATGATAGCTTTGCTGGGTAGAGTAATCTTGGTTGTAGGTTCTTGCTGATCATCACTTTGAATATTTCTTGCCACTCCCTTCTGGCCTGCATAGTTTCTGTTGAGAAATCAGCTGACAGTCTATGGGTACAACCTTGTAGGTAACTAACTGTTTTTTCTCTTGCAGCTTTCTAGATTCTCTGTTTGTCTTTTGCCCTTGGCATGATATGTCTTGCTGTGGTCCTCTTTGGATTCCTCTTGTTTGGGGTTCTCTGTGCTTCCTGGACTTGTAAGTCTATTTCTTTCACAAGGGAAAGTTTTCTGTTTTATTCATATTGAGAAATCCTTTAGATTGAAACTTCTGCAGGTCCTAGGATCATGAAGACTGGTTGGACTATATTCTCTAATAAGTTACTTAACAAAAGAGAAATGCCTTCCATCTCAGTGTGTAGCCACCATACCAGAGGGGGGTTGTAAGCATTTAGAAAGTCACAAAAAGGTCTGGGAAAGAGTCACACAAAAGTCAATGGGTAGCCCTAACCACTGGTGCTCAGTGGTTAAAGTATCAGCCAGCACACCGAAGCATCTTGGGTTTCATTCCCAGTCACAGGCATGTTTCAAGTTGATCCTGTCCCAGTCAGGGCATGTGTAGGAGGCAACCAATCCATGCATCTCTCTCAGATTGATGTTTCTCTCTCTTTCTCTCGCCACTCTTCCACTCTCTAAAAATCAATGGATAAAGATATCCTCGGTTGAGGACTTAAAAATAAAATAAAATAAGATAAAATAAAATAAAATAAAATAAAATAAAATAAAATAAAATAAAATAAAATAAAATGAGGGAAGAAAAAGAAGGTTAATAGGTAAATTCCACCTGATCATGAAGATATTGGACATTCGGTCTGAGAAGAGGTTCCTGGTGTGGATACTATAGATGTCCAGGGAGACAGGTCAGGGGTCACCCTGAGGTGATCTGGATGGAAGAGGGGAGATATAGTTGTCTTCTTACAGAATGTCACCTGAACAAAGATCTTCACCCTGAGGTCAGAGTCCTCCTCTGGTGAACTTTACAGAGATCACTGTGGCCTGTGAGTGGCTGACATCTCTGAGGAATGAGCCCACTCTCAGTCAGTCATCTCCTCTGTTTCTCCACAGAGTCAGTGACGAAGCCCACCATCCGAGCCAACAATGCCAAAATCAGAGAGTCTAAGGACCCCGCGGTCCTGACCTGCCTCACAAATGACACGGGGATCTCCATCCAGTGGCTCTTCAAGAACAAGATTCTCCTGGTCACGGACAGGATAAAGCTGTCCCAGGACAACAGCACCCTCACCATTGACCCTGTCTGGAGAGAGGACGCTGGGGCTTATCAGTGTAATGTCTTCAACCCAGCCAGTTCCTGGATAAGTAACCCCTACAGGCTGGATGTACAGCATGACCCCTTGCGCCATCCTACCAATGGTGTGACAAGTGGACCAAAGACACAGGGAACATATTACAAATCAGAAGACATTATAGTAAACAGAATGGCAAATTGGTTAAGAGCTCAGTTTCTGACCCTGGGTCTGTCATTCACTGTGACCTTGCACAGGGTTGTGCAAGGGATTAATATCCAGGATATATAAATAACTATTAAAACATTTTAATAGTCATTTTTGTAGTCATTTTTTGTGGTCATTTTTATGTGATAAACTATACATAAATTTACCATTTTAACTATTTTAAGTCTAGAGCTCAGTGGCATTAAGTACATTCACATTGTTGTGCAATCATTACGACTATCCATTAGGAACTTTTTCATCTTACCATACTAAAATTCTGTACCCATTAAACAATAGTTCTCCACCTCCAAACCCCAACCCCTGGAAACCACCATTCTACTTCTCTGTCTATGAATATGACAATTCTAGGTACTTCATATAAGTGGAATCATCTGATATTTGTCCTTTTGTGGTCTGGTTATTTTCATTTAGCATAATATCTTTAAGTTTCATCCATGTTGTAGTGCATATCACAATTTCATTGCTTTTTAAGACTGAATAATATTCTATTGCATGTATCCATCACATTTATCATTCATCCATCCATGAGCTTCTAGGTTGTTTCTACTGTTTGTGTGTTGTGAATAATGCTGCTAAGAACAACAGTGTTCAAATCACTGCTTTCAATTCTTTTGAGTGTATACTGAGAAGTAGAAATACTGGGTCAAATAGTAATTCTTTGTTCAAATTTTGTTGTTGTTGTTAATCCTCTCCCTGTAATATTTTTCCATTGATTTTTGAGAGAGAGTGAAAGTGAGTGGGAGAAACAGAATCCAAGAGAGAACATTAATTGGTTGCCTTCCACATGCACCCCAACCAAGACCAGAGTTGAAGTCTGCAACCTGTATATGCCCTTGACTGGAACTGAGCCAGGACCTGTCAGTGCTCTCTCCACTGAACAACCCAGCTAGCGCTGTTCAGTTTTTTATGAACTGCCATACCTTTTTATGTGGCTGAACCATTTTATATTCCTGCCGGCAATGCACAAAAGTTCCCATTTTCCCCCAACCTTGTGGACACGTTGTTTTCCAGGTGGTTACTATTTTGTTTTCTTTTCTTTTGTTTTCTTTCAATAGTAGCTATCTTAGTGGATGTGAGGTGATATCTCATTGTATTTTTTATTTCTATTTCAAAAATACAATGAGATATTAATGATTAGAGATGCTAAGCATTTCGTATTCTCATTGTCCATTTGTTTATCTTCTTTGAAGAAAAGTGTATTCAGTTCCTCTGGCCATATTATAATTGGATTTTTGTTGTTGATATTTAATAGTTTTTTACATATCCTGGGTATTAATCCCTTATCAGATATATTATTTTCAAATATTTCCTCCCATTCCATGTGACTTTCCACTCTGTTGACAGTGTCCTATGATACACAAACTTTTTAAAAATATATTTTATTCATTTTTTTGACTGAGAAGAAGGAAGATTGATAGAGAGTTAGAAACATGGATGAGAGAGAAACATTGATCATCTGCCTCATACACACTCCCTACTTGGTATGTGTCCACAACCAAGGTACATGCCCTTGACAGAATCAAATCTAGGACCCTTCAGTCCAAAGGCTGACGCTCTATCCACTGAGCCAAACCGCTTAGGGCTATAGACAAACTTTTTTAATTTTGATAAAGTCCAATTTATCTGTTTTCCTTTGTTGCTGTGCTTTTGCTTTCCTAGCCAAGAAATCATTGATAAGCCTAATGTTAAAGCTTTTACACTATGTTCTCATATAAGAATTTTTTAAAATATGTTTATATTGATTTCGGATAGGAAGGGAGAGTGAGAGATAGAGACATCAATGATGAGTGAGAATCATTGATCCGCACCTCCAGCAGGCCCCTTACCAGGGATAGAGCCCACAACGTGGACATGTTTCCTGACCAGGAATCAAACCATGACCTCCTGGTTCATGGGTCAACAATCAACCACTGAGCCATACTGGCCAGACATTCTATATAATAAAGATGTAATGTGCACGCGTAACGACCAGATCACAGATAAGCAGGAGAACAAGGCAGTGGGCAGAGTGTTACTGGAAGGCGGCAGCGAGCTACTGGCACACAGATTCATATGCCAGGCTACTAGTCTTCTAATAATGTTCTATATTTAGATCTTTGATCCAAGTGTGACCTCCTGGTTCATAGGTCGAAGCTCAACCATTAAGCCATACCTGCTGGCTATATGTCAATCTTTATGCTAGTGTCACACTGTTTTTTATTACTGCGGCATTGGAGTAAAGATTGAAATCAAGAATGTGAATCCTCCAGCTTTGTTCATCTTTTTCCAGATTGTTTTGGCCTTTTGAGGTCTCTTGAAATTCCATATGAATTTTAGGGTGGGTTTTTCTATTTTTGCCCAAAAAAATGTCATTTAGGTTATTGATAGGGATTTTATTGAATCTGTAAATCACTTTGAGCACTATTGTCATCTTAACAACACTAAGTTTTCCAATCTATGAACACAGAATGCCTTCCCATTTATTTATGTCTTTAAATTTTTTTCAGCAATAATTTTTGTACTTGTTCATTGTATGTCTTTCACCACCTTGGTTAACTTAATTCCTATGTATTTTACTTTTTAATATTTTCTTATATCTTCATTGTTGAGAGTATTTCAGATGACACCCCCTTTTCCTCGCCATTGCCCACCTCCACTCAGATCCCACTCTGCCTCAGGCTTTCACCACCCTATTGTCTGTGTCCTGTTCCCCTCCCCGCTTCCCTCCGAGATTTGCCAGTCTCTTCTGTTTCCTGGCCTCTGGTTCTATTTATTCATCAGTTTATTTTGTTCTTTAGATTCCTTGTTCATTTATTCTATCTTTTTATTCAATTGGGGTTTTCTTGTCTGTTTGTTTTAATATATTTTTAAGTTTATTTCAGAGAGGAAGGATAGAGGGAGAGGGAGAGAGAGCGACACAAACATCAACTATGGGAGAGAATCATTGATCGGCTGCCTCCTGCATGCTCCCTGCTGGGGATCAAGCCCCCAATCTGGGCATGTGCCCTTGAATGGAATTGAACTAGGACCCTTCAATCCACATACTGACATTCTATCCACTAGGCCAAACCGACGAGTGCTCAATTGTTGATAGATATGTATTTATTGCCATTTTATTGTTCATGCTTTCTATCTTTTTCTTCTCTCACCCTCCTCCTTCTCCTTCTCCCCCTCTTACTTCTTCTTTAAGAAAATCCTTTAATATTTCTTATACTACAGGTTTGGTAGTGATGAAATCCTTCAGCTTTTTCTTGTCTGTGAAGCTCTTTATCTGACCTTTAATTATAAATTACAGCTTTGCTGACTAGAGTAATCTTGGTTGTAGATCCTTGCTTTTCATCACTTTGAATATCTCTTTTCACTCCCTTCTGGCCTATCACGTTTCTGTTGAAAAATCAGCTGACAGCCATAGGGGAGGGCCCTTGTTGGTGACTAACTGTTTTTCTCTTGCTGATTTTTAGATTCTTTCTTTGTCTTTAACATTTGGCATTTTAAGTATGATATGTCTTGGTGTGAGCCTCTTTGGTTCCTCTTTTTTGGGACTCTCTGTGCTTCCTAGATTTGTAAGTCCATTTCTTGCTGTTATTATTTCTTCAATTAGGTTTTCAATACCTTGCTCTCTCTCTTCTCCTTCTGGCACCCCCATAATGCAAATGTTGGTATGCTTCAAGTTGTTCCAGAGACTCCTTATACTACTCTCATATTTTTGTATTTTTTTTTCTCTTTGCTCTTCTGAATGGGTGTTTTTTACTTTCTCATATTTCAAATTGTTGATTTGATTCTCGCATCCTCTACTCTACTCTTGATTCCCTGTAAATCAATCTTCACTTCAGTTGCTGTAGCCTTCATTTCTGACTGGTCCTCTTTCATGTCTTTGGTGTTATCACTAATTTCTTTGAAATAAGTTCCTTGACATCTCACTAAGATCCTTGAAACTCTCATTCAGTTTCTTGAACATACTTATAACCATTGTTTTGAACTCATCATATAGTAGTTTGCTTGTTTCCATTTCATTTAGTTCTCTCTCAGGAGATTTCAGTTCTTTTCTTCATGACAAGTGTCTTTGTCTTCTCATTTTGGCTGCTTTCCTGTGTTTGTTTATATGTATTAGGAAAAGCTACTATTGCCTCCTGAATTGGTAAAGTGGCCTTGTGTAGTAGGTGTCTATAGGGCCCAGTGGCTCAGCCTCCCCCGTCACCTGAACTGGGTACTCTCAGTGCACCCCAGTGCGTTCTGTGTGCACTTTACTGTTGTAGTTGAGCCTTGATTGCTGCTGGTGTCACTGGGAAGAATTGACCCCCCAGGTTAATCAGTTGTGAGAACCAGCTGTGACTACAGCAGACACCACTATGGAAAAGGACTTGTTTCAGTGGAGCTTTGGTGCTCACCAAGTCTGTCCATTGAGTATGTCAATTGTGGATGTAGTAGAGTTGTAATCTTGTAAACTGTCCACTGGGTGTGCTGGCTCTGTGAGGTGCAAATTCAGCCATTGCTTGTGCCCTGCCTGGGCCAATCTGCCAAGAGGTACAGAGTGGTCTGCAGTTGGCTGCTACTTTTATTGGACTAGGAGGTACCCAGGAGAGACCAAGCTATAAACCTTGACAAACTGATACTAGTGTCTGGGCTGGGGCCACTTATCAAGAGAGATGGAGCACACTGAGTCCAGTTGCTACTTGTTTGAGAGATTTTTAGGAAAGTCTGAAGTCTGAGCCAGAATAAGCCATTCATATAGAAGAGACATTGCAAATAGCTTGGGAGGGGCTGCCAATTGGGTGGGACAGGATCTGAAGACCTCATCAGGGTGGGGCAAACAGTGTGGCTAGGTTGATGGAGACTCAGATATGGAGCTAGTAAACTAACTGTGTGTGGGAGGGGGAGGTAATGGGGGTTGCAGCACTTTTGGGGAGAAAGCTGCCCCTGAGTTCTTTTCCTGATACCAGACAATATAATTCCTTCCCGAATGTCCCTGGATCCTTTCAACATACAATACTTCCCAATGATTGGAAGTAAGTTTGGGAGTAAGTTCGGGTAAGCCTGTGTGCTGGCCTATTAAGTGGAACTGCCTGTGTCTCCAGTAGTCTTCATGTCACTCAGCCACAATCCTTGCTTGATTTTTACCACACGAAGTTACAGAGACATCTCTTCCCAGCACTGGAATCCTGGGCTTGGGATCTTGTGTGGTGCTAGGACCTCTTGCTCCTCACGGAGGCCTCCTCAGCCAAGATATTCCTCCCAATTAGAAACACACCACATGTGGGTATAAGACCAGCCCATTCCTCACCTTTACAACTCCTACCAATCACAGTGTTCTTTCTTCTTTAATCCTCTAGTTCAGCGGTTCTCAACCTGTGGGTCCCAACCCCTTTGGGGGTCAAAAGACCCTTTCACAGGGGTCGTCTAAGACCATCAGAAAACACAGATATTTACATTATGACTCATAACAGTACCAAAATTACCGTTATGAAGTGGCAACAAAAATAATTTTATGGTTGGGGGTCACCACAACATGAAGAACTGTATTAAAGGCTCATGGCATTAGGAAGGTTGAGAACCACTGCTCTAGTTGTAGAACTTTCATTCAGCCAGATTTCAAGCAGTTCTGAATAATGGTCATTCTGCGTTTTAATTGTAATATTGATGTGGTTGTGGGAGGATGCAAATACCAGCATTTACCTACACAGACATTTATTTGGATAAAGTTTTTATTCTTTTATCAATGGAACTTTCCTCATTTCCTTTCTAAATTTTTCATTGTTTGTATATAAAAACACAACTGATTTTGACATGTTGATGTAGTATCCTTCAGCTTTGCTGAATTTATTAGTTCTAACAGTTGGTTTTTTTTGTGGGAGGGGGGATCTTTATGGTTTTCTACATATAAGATCATGTCATATGCAAACAGATCATATCATATGCAAATACTACCTTTTTCTTTCCAATGTGGACGCCTTTTATTTGTATTTCTTGCCTAATTACTGGCTAGGACTTCCAATACTGTTTTTGAGAAGAAATGGCAAAATCAAGCATCTTTGTCTCTGCCCAATCTTAGAAAAGAAACTTTCAGTCTTTCACTATTGAGAATCATGTTAGCTGTGGGTTTGTCATAAATGGCCTTTATTATGTTGAGGTAGTTTCCTTCTATTCCTAGTTTGAGCATTTTTATCATGAAAGGGTATTGAATTTTGTCAAATGCTTACAATGACTAAATCTCCTACTGTTTATAGATTAATTCATATTTCCTATTTCTTTATGATTCCATTTTGTAGGTTTTGTGTTCTAGAAATTTGTCCATTTCATCTAAGTTATCCAATTTGTTGGTTTTCAAAAATTCATAACACTATGATAATTCTCATTTGTTATGTAGAATTGATAGTAATATCCCCATTTTCATTTCTGACTTCAGTGCTTTGAACCTTCTCTCTTTTTTTTTTTTTTAAGACAATCTAGTTTATAGGCTTATTAGTTTTTTTCATCTTTTTTGATGAACTAACTTTTGGTTTCATTGATTTTCTCTCCTGTTTTTCCATTCTGTATTTTAGTTACCTACACTCTAATTTTTATTATTCCCTTCTTTATGCGAGCTCTGAATACAGTATATTCTTTATATAGTTTCTTAAGTTGTAAAGTTAGGTTGTTGATTTGAGATCTTTCTTCTTTTTTAAAGTAAACTATTACAATAACAAATTTCTTGCACAAGATTCTTAACTTTCTGGGCCCCATTTCCACTACTGAAAATTACAATAACACTATCTGCTTCATTATATTGCTTTAAATATATATAATGTAATAATCAATTAAACCCTTATCAAATGCTACCTGCAGCAGAAAAGTTCTAAAAGTGTTAGCTGCTCTTATTACTACCATTATCATTAGCCTCTATGAAGTCAGGTGGTCCAAGAGTTGAATTCCAGATCCACCTCTTACTAAACATATGACTTTGGGTATATGCCTGGGTTTTGGGCTCAATCCCCAGTAGGGGACGTGCAGGAGGCCCCCAATCAGTGATTCTCTCTCATCACTGATGTTTCTCTCTGTCTCTCTGTCTCTCTCTCTCTCTCTGTCTCTCTCTGTCTCTCTCTCTCTCTCTCTCTCTCCCTTTCTCTCTCTCTCCCTCTTCCTTACTCTCTAAAACCGATAAAAATATATTTAAGAGTAAATGTTTTGCACTTCTCCCCAACCAAAGAGTAAAAAGCTTAAATTACTCTAATCAAGGAAATAGACTTGTGAAAGAAAAGAGCCACATGCTAACCTGACAAGCTCAGGGAAGGCCTGCGTGGCAGTCTTGCAAACCCAGAGACCTAAGATAACCACGAAAGATGGTTTGAAAATTAAATATCTAACAGGTTATAGTAGGAAGTCATGTCCCAGATATTTCAGCTGACAAAGATCAACTTTGATCTGTTACTGAACCCCTCTGCCTTCCAGCATCTGAGATAACATATCTGTGAGATGTCTGGGTAACTTGTACTTCCTTTTTACCCTGGACTCCTCAGGGCACAAAAAAATGGCCTCCAGACATTCCTCATTGTTATTGTTATCAAGTTAATTGTCAACTGTTAATTATGTTAGAGTATCCTGTAACCATCTCTGCAAAAGAAGCTCATGTCCATCATTTAACCTTTTTCCCTATCCCAGAGGTCCCCCCCCCCATTCGCTTTGTCCCAGCTCCCTAATCTATCACCAATGAATTTCATATAACTAACTTATGTCCCTTTCCTTTGATTGCAATATATAAATATAGAAATGTAACCCGCCATTCTCCGGAGCATTATCTCAATCCGTTGAGGTTCTGCTTTCTGGCGTATGTCCACAGTAAGGCTCAAATAAACTCACAAAAAAATTCTTTACAGGTTTCAATGGTGGTGTTTTTTGTTTTGTTTTTTTGTTAATAGACAGCAGAAATCCAATCAGTGCCATTTGCCAAACACACCCAAGGACAGATGAGGTTAAGAGAATAAATCTCATTTTGGTACATCAGCATAAAACCTAGAATATTCTATTAAGATCCTCCCCTAAAAACTCCCCTAAACACCCAACCTTTAAAACCCCTCAAAACTAAGGTTCCAGTGCACACTCTCCACACCCACAGGCATGCATCTCCTAAACTCTAATGGACCCTGAAAAGCTTGCAATCAGGAAAGTAATAGGCAGTGTTAGTTTATCCCAGGCAAACCTCCTGAACCTGTCCCCAGGCCCCCTTTTCTCTGACATCTAGATTCGTGTTCTGAAATTCTGCCTGCATGAACTCAAGAAGCCACACACTACGGGCTGTCCCGAGGCAGACCTGCTCAGGGCCAGGTCCTATTTCTGGTATCACGTTCCCATTGGACTGCTCAGTGGTTAAAGGCAGATGCTATGAAGTTCTCCAGCTTCAAATTCTGACTCTAGCACACAAGCTGCAAGGTCCTGGAAAATAACTACACCTTAGTCCCATCATTTGTGAAATGGGGCTAATAAAAATTCCCACCTCCTGTGCTGTTATGAGGATCAAATGAGATCATCTAGTTAGTGTTTACCACACTGCCTAGAAGCTCGTAAGCACACAATATTTGTTGGCTGTTAGTAATATTAACACACAATTAGTTATACTAGTTGTCAATTGAAATATACAGTAATTAGTAACTACACCATATTTGTTGGCTATTGGTATTTTACATGCCATCCTATATAACAAAAGGCTAATATGCAAATAGACCGAATAGCGGAACAACTGGAAAAAACAAACAACTGGTCTCTATGACGTGCACTGACCACCAGGAGGCGTCTGCTGAATATGGTGAGCATTGGCCATGATGGAATGGTGGAGCAGGTGAACAGGGGTGCCAGAGCAAGGCGGGACACCAGTCTCTGTCATCAGGGTGAGCCTCTGATGGTTATTGAAAATTCTTTGCTCCCTTGTGACATGGTCCTGCCCAGCATTCACAACTGCTGCCAGTGTCAGAGCCCTCCCTCACTCACTGCTGGTGCCTGGCACCAGTCCTGATCACTCAGCACCATCAGTGGATGCAAGTGATGGCTGCCTGCCCTGGTCACCCTTGAGGGCTTCTCCACCTCCCTATGTTCCTTAGGGGTGATCGGGACAGCAGCTGCTGCTCACACCTTCTGCTGGCACCAGCCCCGATTGCTCCACGCTGTCAGCTGATGTGAGCAGTGGGATCCTGGCTGCTGGCAAAAAGGGGACCAGGGGCTGCAGCGGAATGGGCCAGACGGGATATCAGAGGATGGCCTGAAACCTGCCTACCACAGCCTCTTAGCCCTAAATTGGTGAAGGAAAAAGTCCCACAAGTAAAGGAAACACATATAGTCCCAAGCAAGAAGAACCCAAACAAGCTCATGTCTAGACATATCATAATTAAAATGCCAAAAATTAAAGACCAAGAGAGAATCTTAAAGGCAGCAAGAGAAAAGCAATTTGTTACCTACAAAGGAGCTCTCATAAGGCTGTCACCTGATTTCACATCAGAAACTCTACAGGACAGAAGAGAATGGCATAAAGTACTCAAGGTAATGAAAAGGAAGTATCTGAAACCAAATTATATCAAGCAAGAATATCATTAGATTCTAAAAACGAAGGCAATTTAAAAAACAAACAAACTGATGAACAATATTAACTGTTGAACATAATAGAATCAGAGGTATGGAAGGGGAGTGAACTGACGATTCTTTGGGAAAAGGGAAGAGGGGCATGTTGGAAGAGACTGAACATAAACTGTGCACCTATGGGCGAGGACAATGGGGAGTGGAGAAAGGGCAGAAGGGGGCGTGGGAACCGGATGGAGGAGAGCAATGGAGGGGGGGAGAAACATTTGTAATAATATGAACAATAAAAATTTATATAAAAAAAAACAAAGTGTGGCCCACCAATCAGCAGTGACAGCATCATCCAAAAGTTTATTAGAAATGCAAAATCTCAGGCCCCAAAAGAAATCAGATTTGTATTTAAACAGGATCCTCAGATGATCTGTAAACACATCAAAGTCTGAGACACGTCTCTACAATGCCTTTCCATTCTAAAATGCAATGATTTCAGACTTCATCTCAACTGTCATTTTTCTAATCCTAATTCCAGCCCTCAGATTTGCCCACATCTAGGTAGAGTTCTTAGAAAATACCAGTGGGGCAGCGCTGCCACCTTGTGGTTATGATCAGTAAATGCACTTAATTTTCAAGCTCATACCAGTAAAGGGGGCGGGGGAGAGGGTTGGAGGGTGAAAGGTTGGTAGAATGGGTGAAGTCCACGATACCAATTCACAACCACCCACAATGCCTGGAAGTAACTATCAGACAGAGTTCAGCCTATATCCTGGAGTAATGTCACATTTCAAAGGGCATTTCTTATAAAACCTAATGAGATATAATATTAGTGGGAAACCAAGCTCTGCCTTGTAACCTTCAAAGCAAAAAATCACTGTGATGGTTATTTTCAGACATCCAGCCCCTGCCTGACCTTTGCCAGAAAACTTGTAATTTTCCAAGGAAAGTTACTTTACTGTGACAGTTCTCATTCTGAGCCAAAATGTGTCTGATGAATATTCACCAATCCTAGTCATACTCTCTGTAGGCACTGAAACAGGTCTGATACCCCTTCTTATAACAGACCTTCAAATATTTCTGAATAACCACCATGAATCCGTCCTTTCTTCCCTCAGCCATTTCCCAAATGAAATATTCTAAAATTCCCACACTCTCTTCCACTTTCTGGAAGGGAAGTGAAGTGTTTCAACCACAGGAAACTCCGAATCCTAAGAATCTTCTAACCACAGCAGCTGAGCCACAGGACTACCCATTTCCCCATTCTGGATACTGCACTTATATTTACTAATAGAAAGCCTAATACTGTACCAGCTGATTTGAGGATACTGGTTTTTCCTATTATGCTGCTGCTCAGTCATCCTACACCTGTGTAGATGTATACATTTTTTAATTTTAATTTTTTTATTGATTTCAGATAGGAAGGGACAGGGGGAGAGAGATTAGAAACATTAATGATGAGAATCATTGGACAGCTGCCTCCTGCACGCCCCCCAGCGACGATTGAACCCACAACCCAGGCATGTGCCCTTGACTGGAGTCAAACCTGGGCCCCTTCAGTCTGCAGGCCAATGCTCTATCCACTGAGCCAAACCAACCAGGGCCATTTTATTTTTTAAGAAATATATAACTTGTACTGGAGATACAAAGATGAATCAGACCTGTTCCCTGCCCTCACTGAGCTTTCGATTATGGAGAGAACATAATTCAAAGCAAGACCACACAGTTCAGTGAGAAATAATAGGAATAAACACAGACTTTTGGGCCCATTTGATAAACCTCTGTGAAAATGTCCATTTTGTGTTTTCTGGGCTCACTTTTGCTCATTTCAAGCTCAAAAGGGAAAAAAGAATGCAAATCCCCCGATGGTGCTTTTTCGGTCATGGTTGAATTGGACGTTTCCTTCTGGCTCATTCAAGGTACTTGAGGGCTGCCACCTCATTCTGGATGTCCTCTCTCCCCTGTTAGAGTTCACCACATTTGCACATGCAGCAGCCAGGCAGCTGCACAATAACAGAAATTCTAGCAAGTCAGGAAATGAGTTTTAGTCCTGTTGCTTTGAAACTAATTGATGCTAGCCTATGATATTGAACAAATGCTATCTTGTTTCCTGCACTTTAACTGTTTTTTTTTTTTTTTTTTTAATGGAGCTGTTGGGGAAACCAAGATAGTGGCATAAACACCTATAATGCGACCTCGCACAACAATTTCAAAACTGCAACTGGAACATTGTCCAGAACCACAGGAAAGCTGGCTGAGTGGAAATTCCACAACTAGAAGGAAAGAGAAAAGGACACTGAGACTCAGAGGAGCAGCAAAGGACAGAGGTGCAGAGACCTGTGTGCACAGAAAGGGTGGGCGTCTAAATACGTGGCTGGCTTACTCAAAAAGGAGGGAGACAAAGGCTCCCCTCTGCACTGAACTCTATTTTGGGAGAGATTTGGGAGAGTTACTGGGTGAAACTGGACTGTCAGGAAAAAGCACACTGAGACTCAGGAGCACCGGTACTCATAGGTACAGAGGCACAGTGTGTGGAGAGGTCGGGCAGCAAGCACTCATCTAGCTTTCTCCTGTGGGAGGGCAACAAAACCTTCTGACTGCACTGAACTCCATTTTGGGGTGAGACTTTGGGTAGCCAGACTCATTTGGGGAGAAACTGGACTGTCTGGCAGCAGGCAAAACTCGAGGGCAGCCTTCTCTCAGAGGTGCGTACAGCTATTGCTGTGGGACACTGAGACACAGGGGCCTCTTAGGGAGGGGCTAATGAGAAATCAAGGCTGTCTGCTCCACTCTGAGACTCTGCCCCATCCAAGCTGAACAAAGAAGCTTTCCCAGAGAAGACACAGCTGATCTTCACAGCCAATTGGCCTGGAGGTCAACTACCCCCAATGATACTAATAACAATCTAGGCTTAACTATAACAAGACTGAACACACAACCCATAAAGGTAACTGGGGAGGCTGAGCCACTGGGCCCTGCTAGTCCACCTAGCACAGTAAGTCACTCCATCAACTCAGAGAAGCAGCTAAAATGCTCTGCTAAAATGCGGAGACAAAGAGGCAGGTCACAAATGAAGAAAATGGAGGAAAGCAAATGACTGGATATAGAGTTCAAAACCACGGTTATAAGAATTTTCTAGAAAAGGCTGATAAATTTCATGAGACCCTCGAGGATATGAAAAAGGATCAACTAGAAATTAAGCATACACTGACTGAAAGAGAAAAGATTATATACAGAGACCTACAAGCAGAATAGAGGATCACAAGAATCAAGTCAAAGATTTGAAATACAAAGAAGCAAAAAACACTCCTCCAAAAAGAAAAATGAAAAAATAATCCAAAAATATGAAGATAGTGTAAGAAGCCTCTGGGACAACTTCAAGAATACCAACATCAGAATCATGGGGGTGCCAGAAGAAGAGAGAGAGCAAGATACTGAAAACATATTTAAAGAAATAGTGATGGAAACTTCCCCCACCTGGTGAAAGAAATAGACTTACAGGAAGTGCACAGATCCCCAAACAAAAGGAATCCAAAGAAGACCACGCCAAGACACATCATAATTAAAATGTCAAGAGCAAAAGACAAAGAGTATTAAAAGCAGCAAGAGAAAAACAGTTACCTACAAGAGAGCATCCATACCTTTGTAAGCTGATTTCTCAACAGAAACTATGCAGGCCAGACAGGAGTGGAAAGAAATATTCAAAGTGATGAATAGCAAGAAATTACAACCGAGATTACTCTACTCAGCAAAGCCAGCATTTAGAATTGAAGGTCAAATAAAGAGCTTCACAGATAAGAAAAAGTTAAAAGAGCTCATCACCATCAAACTAGTATTATATGAAATTCTGAAAGGTATTCTTTAAGAAGAGGAAGAAGAGGAAAAATAAAAAGATAAAAATTTTGAACAACAAATATGTATCTATCAACTAGTGGATCTAGAAACCAAGGGAATAAAAAAATCTGATGAATAGTATTAACTAGTGAATATAAGAGAATCAGGAGCATAGAAAGGGAGTGGACTGACAACTCTCAGGGGGAAAGGGGTGTGGGGGTGCGGGAAGAGATTGGAAAAAAATCATACACCTAAGGATTAGGACAGTTGAGAATGGGGGGGAGAGGGCAGAGGGTAAGGTGGGAACTGAGTGGACTGTGGCTAAGGGGTGGGGGTAGAGGAAAATTGTTATAATCTGAAAAATAAAGATGTATTAAAAATAAATGTAAAATAAAATAAAATAATAAAAAATAAATGGAGCTGTTCGGTGAGTGGGGGGGGGGGGGTGGAGATATATGTACCACTATGTGTAATACTTTAAACAATAAAATAAAATTTTAAAAATGGAGCATTGGATTAGCTATCCATGGGTCTATGTGTATAGTGAGAACTCCTCAGAGGCAGTATCACACCTTCTTCCTTTGGTAGCCACCACCTGAGAAACACTGGGCACTCATGCTTCCTGAATGTATGTATGAATAAATGATTGTTACTAGAGCAACATGAGTAATGGGCTCAATCACCAAATATTTCCAAATGTTTGCTAAGTACACCGTACAGGGGGAAAACCAAATAACCGTGGCAGAAGGGTATTTCTTCCCCACTTTCCTCTTCTCTCCTTCCTGGAGGGAGGCCTTTGTAAATCAGACTGTGTTGACACAATGTTCTGGAGATGGGCTCTAAGTAGTTGTCAATATTAACAAGAGAAATTTGTCTTAGGTGTGTTTTATATTGTGAAACAAACAAGAAAAATACTTTAAATTTCATGACTGAAAGTTTTTATTTTTTACTTTATTTTATTTTATTTTATTTTATTTTATTTTATTTTATTTTATTTTAAAGAAAGCGTTTGCCCTTGCTAGCAGGGAAGGAAGAAGAGGAAGAGGAGAAAGAAGAGGAGTCTGGTCTTGAGGCATAGGATCTAAGCCACCATCAGGTAGTTTTAAAAAGACAACATATCCATCTCTGAGTTCTGCAAGCATTTTTATAAACCAAGTAGGAAGGAGAAAGATGTAAGGATTGACAATTAGCTATAGACAAAGGGAAGGGCAAGTTCTGGGGTAGGCTCGGCAGATTCTGCAAGAAAAATGTCTGGCTCTGGCTGGTTTGGCTTAGTGGGATCGAGTGTTGGCCTCCGGACTGAGGGGTCCCAGGTTGCAGGTTCAATCCCTCTGTGGAGGCATGCAGGAAGCAGCTGATCTGTGATTCTTTCTCATCATTGATGTTTCTATCATTATCTCCTCCCTTCCTTATTAAATAAAGGAAGAAATGCCTGCTCTTGTGGATTGGCTCTGGGCAGAAGATTGAAAAATTCATATGCAAGTAAGCGGAGGCCCTGGGGCTCTATGGTGCTGGCAAGTCTCTCTTTTACATAATCTTAGAAATAGTCACCTGCAGATTAATTCCCAATTCCAATAGACAGGCAGAAATGTGATCAGTCTTTTATCATAGCTGGTGCACAGCTAGTAACAGGCTAACTGTTCAGTCTATCTCTTTTACTCTCTGGCTGCTGTAATTTTAATTTAGAACATCTCAACATTGTTTTCTCATCAATATCAATGAGTTTGAGGGATCTCAAGCCCACTTCTGTAATACATAAGACCATACATCCCACCCCAAGTCCCTGGAGAAGGAAATCAGCCAGAGTGAACTGAATGGGAGCCAGGACATGGGGAAAGCAGAGAAGTAAACAAATGAAGGGACAGAGAGAAAGGTCTGAGGAGGAGCTCCCTGATTCTGATGCTGCCTGGGAAAGTAGAGAATCCCCATCAGTTTCGATGTGTATGCATAAACACTCATCACCAAATTTTCTTCCTAGTAATGGATTGCACTTTCACAAAAATATCTCTCAATTCAACAAACATTTGTAGAGTACTCCCAGTGTATCAGGCTCTATATAAGTTCAGGCCCGGTGCACAAAATTCATGCATGGGGAGGGTTGTTTCTCAGCCCAGTCTGCACCCTCTCTAATCTGAGACCCCTCGAGGGATATCCTACTGCCCATTTAGGCCCAATCCTGACAGTCAAACATCCTTCTCACAATCCAGGACTGCTGGCTCCCAACTGCTCATCTGCCTGCCTTCCTGGTTGCCCCTAACCACTTTTGCCTGCCAGTCTGGTTACCCCCTAACTATTCCCATGCCAGCCTGATTGATGCCTAACTGCTCTCCTGCCAGCCTGTTTGCCCTTAACTACCCTCCCCTTCAAGCCTGGTCACCCCTAACTGCCCTCCCCTGCAGGCTTGATTGCCCCAAACTGCCCTCCCTTGCAGGTCTGGTCCCTCTCACCTGCCCTCTCCTGCTGGCCATTTTATGGCCATATGGGGGCAGGATCTTTGAACACATGGGGGCAGCCATCTTGTGTGTTGGAGTGATGGTCAATCTGCATATTACTCTTTTATTAAGTAGGATAGAGGCCTGGTACATAGGTGGGGGCCGACTGGTTTGCCCTGAAGGGTGTCCTGGATCAGATTGGGGGTTCCTTTGGGGTGTGGGGCGGCCTGGGCAAGGGGCCCATGGTGGGTTGCAGGCCGGCCACACCCCGTTGCAACCCAAGCAGAGGCCCTGGTATCTGGGATTTATTTACTTTCTACAATTGAAACTTTGTAGCCTGGAGCAGAGCCAAGCCTCCTGCTTGCTCTATGGCTGCAGCCATTTCTGTGGAATTTGTTTACCTTCTATCATTGTAACTTTGTAGCCTATAGTGGAGGCCTAGGCCGGCCAGGGCAGGTGGAAAGCTTGGCTCCTTCCATTCCCAGTGGAAACCCAAGCCTTCCTCTTGCTCTCTGTGGCCATAGCCATCTTGGTCGGATTTATCTGCATACACGCTCTGATTGCCTGGGGGGCGTGACTTGTGGGCATGGCTTGTGGGTGTAGAGGAGGTATGGTCAATTTGCATATTACTCTTATTACCATGTTTCCCCGAAAATAAGACATCCTCTAAAAATAAGACCTACTTACAGGTTTCCTTTTGAGTGAAATATAAGGCATCCCCCAAAAAATAAGCCCCCCCCCGGGCTCTGTCTCAGAATGAAAATTAATTTACCTTACCATATACAGGTAATAAATTTCCTTCATTTTCATATAACAATAAATGTGTATCTTATTCTTCTTCATGGAAAAATAAGACATCCCCTGAAAATAAGACCTAGCACATCTTTGGGAGCAAAAATTAATATAAGACACTGTCTTATTTTCGGGAAAACAGGGTAGATAGGATACACACACACACACAAACACACACACAGTCCCTGTCCTCAAAGACCCACACCCAATTAGTGTCATGTTCCTTCTCTGCACTTTCCTCTTCTGCCCTCCATCAACCCAAATCCTACCCCATCCTATGAGACCCAGCTCCAGTTCCACCTGACCCAAGCCACAGTGAATTCCTGCCACTTCTGAAATTTGGTTTCACTTATATCACAGATTTGATGAAGTGAATGTCATCTCCCTGGTTAGACTTGAGCCTCCTAAGGACAGAGAACATTGTTAGAATTTTCCAGAGAGAAACCACATCAGCGGTTTATATCAGACCAAGCTCAGGCCAAGCCCTAACCTTAACTGAAGGACAATCTCCACTGACAGTACAGCGCCTGGCCCCCTGCAGATAATTTATAAATTTTGTTGTAGCAAAGACTCTACAACTTGTCAGTAGGCAGGAATAATATGAAAATTGAGAGGTTAAAGATGATCAAACAAAAATCAAAAAGGAGCTGAAACCGGTTTGGCTCAATGGATAGAGCGTCGGCTTGCAGACTGAAAGGTCCAGGGCTTGATTCCGGTCAAGGGCATGTACCTTGGTTGCGGGCACAACCCCAGTAGGGAGTGTGCAAGAGGCAGCTGATAAATGATTCCCTTTCATCGATGTTTCTAACTCTGTCTCTCTCTCTTCCTTTCTGTAAAAAATCAATAAAATATATTTTAAAAAGTCAAAAAGGATTTGACTCATGCCTTGCCTCTTCCCTCCTCTTAGGTGAAATAAAGTCACACTACCTTTTCTCACTCCTGCCTGGGAGCTTCCTTGTTAACTTCCCCTGGGCCCCCATAATTACCAACCAGCCTTCAAGCCTGGCCTCTCCTCTTTCTTTGAGCACATTTCCTAAAGTCTCTGGGATGACTCAAGGTAAGTGCTATTGTTCGATAATCCTCAGTGTTTACTCTATGTAGTAATACCTCCTTGTTTTGCTTGTATTTCCAAATAAGGTGTGGAGCCAAGAGCTCCAGTGGTCTGGGAAAATACCTTCCCTCCTGTGGTTCCTGTTTCTCAAACCCTCTTGGACCTGAAGTCCTGAAGGTCTTCCATCAACCCAGCTCCCTCTCCTTCAGACTGGAGTAACTAAGCCACTTCCTGACAAACAACAAGGAAGCCTGGTCTGACCCACTGCTCCGGTGTTTCTGGCAAGAGAGTATAGCCTCTCCTCCTTGGTCATGTCTACTTCCCACCTTATATAAAGTGGAGGAAATTGTAAACAGAGTGAGGACAGGACAAGTTCCCAGGCAACACCACCACTATGGTGATACTGTGTGCCAAGGATGGGAGCGGGAACACACACAGGAGAAAACAGTCTATGTTCTCCTCTCTTCTGCCAACCCTGCATCCTCATTTCCTACCAGATATTAAGCTAGTAGAGTCTCTGAAAGGTATAAGGAAATTCAAAGGAGCAAAAAGGCTTAGGGAAGAAATCATAACACATTGAGAGGTACGGAGGTGGGAGGGAGGAGGGGAGGGAACAAGTATAGTTGCCAAGTCATCAGTTACTTCTAATGTTCTTAAGAATGCTTCATATCTTTTGTTTGGCCAATTTTACCTCCCAGATTCCCGTAAAGCACATGATCCAACCTGTTACCTAACAAAGCTAGCGTCACTTACCTGTTCTCACCCTCAAATGGGAACACTGGCCTAGGATTAAAGCACAAACTGACAAGCCAAATACAGTGGCCTGAGTCGTCGCAAGAAGTCCAGAGCCTCTATCTGGGAACCTTCCACACCTTCTTCAAGCAACTTACAGCAGCACCAACAGTCACAATGAAAGTTCTCATCTCTTTTCTCCTGTTGCTGGCATTAATGCTGATGTCCATGGTCTCTAGCAACCCAAATCCAGGTAAATAAAATTAATTTTCTATAAAAGTGGGAAGGGTTGCCGAAACCGGTTTGGCTCAGTGGATAGAGCATCGGTCTGCAAACTGAAAGGTCCCATGTACATTGGTTGCGGGCACATTCCTGGTGTAGGGTGTGCAGGAGGCAGCTGGTCAATGTCTCCCTCTCATTGATATTTCTAGCTCTCTCCTCTCTCTTCCTCTCTGTAAAAAATCAATAAAATATATATTTTTTTAAAAAGTGGGAAGGGGAGGCAGAGAGGAGAATGTAGGGGGTGGGGGGGGTCCTGCATTAAAATGTAGCTCCTTTTAGCTACAGGATTTGAGGTAAGTTTGCCTATCTCAATACCTATTTCCTTATTTACAAAAGGGAGAAAACTGGCCGAAGCTGGTTTGGCTCAGTGGTAGAGCGTCAGTCTGCGGACTGAAAGTTCCCAGGTTCGATTCCAGTCAAGGGCACGTACCTTGGTTGTGGGCACATCCCCGGTAGGGGGTGTGCAAGAGGCAGCTGGTCAATGTTTCTCTCTCATTGACGTTTCTAGCTCTCTATCTCTCTCTCCCTTCCTCTCTGTAAAAAATCAATAAAATATTTTTTATTTTTTTTTTAAAGGGAGAAAACTGTACTTATATCCAACCAGTGTTGTGAGTGTCAAATGATATAGTGTTTATGAAAATGTCTGAAACTGTAGCTGGCAAAGAAAAATTTTTTTAATTAGCTCAACAAAGATCTGGTCTCTTACATCTCCCCCAATTCCTCTTCCAGCAAAGTAATGAATTTTCCCACAACCAATCTTGGTGGCAGTGGTATAAAGGTGTTGAGGGCAGTTGTACACTTATAGAAAATAAGGAAGTCCTTGCTTATATTCTTTATAGTGCACCAGACAACCCACCAACAATTATAATGCGATTTAATGGCAAAGTAATAAACTAGAAAAATCATACCCCCAGATAGTATCTATATTTGAAAAGCTAACCATACCAATCCCTGTTCTAACAGCTCACCTTTTGAAACAGCTCTTGATTAGGGTTGTTTGTTTGTTTGTTTGTTTGTTTGTTTTTAAATATATTTTCATTGATTTTAGAGAGGAAGGGGGAGGGAGAGATAGAAAAATCAATGATGAGAGATAATCACTGATTGGCTGCCTCCTGAACGCCCCCTACTGGGGATCAAACCTGCAACCAGGACTTGTTCCCTTGCCCGAAATGGATTCTGAGACCCTTCAGTCCACAGGCCTATGATCTATCCACTGAGCCAAACCGGCTAGGTCTTGGTTACGGTTTTTTTTAAAACAGTTCCAATCATCCAGCTCTTAGCAGAACAACCATGCAGAAGAGCTCATCCTCATGGATGTTTCTACCTGAGAGTATCATCTCCCCAAGGGCTACTTTGAGTGAAATAGCTTTGTTACATACTCAGTCTTAACTTGGTCCTAAAATCAAGAGTCTAACTCCAGCTCTGGCCAGTTTTGCTCAGTGGTTGGAGTCTTGGCCCATGGCCAAAGGGTCATGGGTTCAATTCCCAGTCAAGGTCAGAAACCTAGGTTTCTTGTTCCCCAGCCCCGGTAGAGGTAGGTGCGTCTCATGTCTCCCTCCAGTCTATGTTTCTCTCTCTCTCTCTTTCCCCCTCTTCCATCCCTTCCACTTTCTCTAGAAGTAAATCAATGGAAAAAATATCCTCCAGTGAGGATTAACAAAATAAAAGAATCCGACTCCACCCCAATTTCTTCTTCCTTAGAGAGAGGAGCTTTCTGGAGGCTCCTGGGCCCCATGGCTTAGCCCACCATTCTGGAAAAGAAGGTTTTTCCATTAATATGACAGACACCAAGGTTAGAGTCCTCACCTAGAGTCCTCAGCCTGAATTTAAAGCTCCAGCCATGCCCTGGCCATTTTTGCTGAGTGGACAGAGTGTCAGCCTGAGGACTGAAGGGTCCTCGGTTTAATTCCAGTCAAGGGCTCATGCTTGGATTGCAGGCTCAATCCTGCAGAAGGCAGCCAATCAATGATTCTCTCTCATCATTGATGTTTCTAACTATATCTCCTTCTCCCTTCCTCTCTGAAATCAATAAAAATATATTCAAAAAAGGAAAAATAATTACAAAACTCTAGCCACAACCTGCCTTTCCAATCCACCCCCTCCACTCACTACCAAATGTTCTATGCTTCACCTAAACTAGTCTATTGTCTGTTCCCTAAAAAGGTCTTATGAGGCTCTAGCTGGTTTGGCTGAGTGGATAGAGCATCAGCCTGTGGACTGAAGGGTCCTGGATTTGATTACAGTCAAGGGTACCTAGGGTTGTGGGCTCAATCCCCAGTAGGGTGCATTCAGGAAGCAGAAAATCAATGATTCTGTCTCATCATTGATCTTTCTATCTCTTTCTCTCTCCTTTCCTCGCTGAAATCAATATATATTAGAGATCCGGTGCACAAAATTTGTGCATGGGGGGAAGGGGAGCCCCTCAGCCCAACTTGCAATGACACCAGCATCTCTCGCCCGGACTCAAGCCTGAGGCCCCTTCCCTCCCTTCCCCTTCCTCTGCAAGGACGGGGTGCAGATGCTGGGCTTGCGTTGCCAGGGGTGATGCCACGAGCATCCCACCCAGGCCACTATGGGCTCTGCCATCTATGTTACAGAGTAACAGTTAATTTATATATTACTCTTTTATTAGATAGGATAAAAGGCTAACATGTCCCTCCTACACTCTGACCCATCGCTATGACGCACAATGCAGAAGCTGCCATGATGCACACAGAAAAAAAACAGCACTTTGTACCTGGCACCCATAAAGCAATATTCAGCTTCCCCCAGTGGGACACAGGCCCCACCATCACCCTGGAGCGACAGCCCACTAGATCATAGCTGCCACTGCGAAGACCCCATGGTGCAAAATGCAGCCCATAGCCCAGCCCAGCCTGGAAACAATTGCTGTGGATGCCTGGTAATGACATCACGTAGCAATACCTGGCTTCCTCTCCCTAGCGACCTGCTTCCTTGGAGTTCCAGGAACATAGGAGAAAACATTTTACACTTCAACCAAATGTCTGTGAAGCGTTTTCCCGTGCCTCATCTCATTTGATCCTCACAGAGGTCCTGAGTAGATAGATAGGAGACTCAGTAGAATCCTATTTTCTTTTCAATAGCTGGAAAATGGAGATTTAGAAAGTTTAGAAACTTGACCCAACTGAAAAGAAGTAAGAAATGGTGCACCATAAAATTACCTGAAAGAAAATTTGGGGTGCTTCACTGGGCTGGAAAAAGTTTAGCTAAATCAGAAAGCAGGTCTAATTAAGCAAGTTTATTATATATATTTGACTATAATAAGTTGACTCACACATATGCACAATACATATAAAGCTCTCACTGGCGCCAATCTCATGCTTGTGTTTCCATCTGTCATTGTCGATCATGAATTTGGTTGACACTTTTATTATAGAGAAAGGGCAAATAGCGATATTAAAATATTTCTTCTAATTAATCTCCTTTCAATGTGCATAAATTGGTGCACCGGGCCACTAGTATCCTCTCTAATGGAGTGGGGATATGCAAATTGACCATTATACAATTACAAATATGGTGGCGACCATAAGATGGCAGTACCCAGTCCCCTCAGCCCCTCTGGAGTTTCCCAGTCCTTTCAGCCCCACTGTGGGGGTGGTAGGTGTGCATTGGGGCCAGACCCACCCTCAGCCCCCCAGCACCCCAGGGTCGGCCCAAGGCACAGGCAAGCATCAGATGTCAGCTGCCCAGCCATCATGGCCACCCATGGCTCAGGTAACCATGGCCGGCCGAGGTTTGCACTGCCAACAGTGGCAGCAGCAGAGGTATGATGGGGGCATCACCTTCCCCTGATTGCCAGGTTGCCTTCTACCCCTGAGGGATCCCGGACTATGAGAGGTGGCAGGCCCAGCTGAGAACCCCCCATTCCAGTGCATGAATTTTCATTCACCAGGCCTCTAGTGTGTGTGTGTGTGCGTGTGTGTGTGTGTGTGTGTGCGCGTGTGTATAATAAGAGTGATATGCAAATTGGCCATCACTCCACTACACCCACAAACCACGCCCACCATCCCCATGCACCAGCCAATCAGAGCGAACATGCAAATTAACCCCAACAAGATGGCTGCCGCCACAGAGAACAGGAGGGAGGCTTGGAGAAAGCCAAGCTTTCCACACACCCAGGCCTCCACTCAAGCTTTCCATACACCAAGCTTTCCACACACCCAGGCCTCCACTCAAGAATACAAAGTTTTAATTATATCAATAGAAGATAAATCCCAAGAAAAATGGCAGCAGCCACAGAGCTGGAGTGAACAGGCTGGGGTTTCCCCCGGTAATGGAGAAAGCCAAGCTTTCCACCTGCCCTGGACGGCCTAGGCCTCCACTCCAGGCTACAAAGTTTCAATTATAGAAGGTAAACAAATCCAAACAGAAATGGTGTCAGCCATGGCGCGATTAGGGGACTTAGCTCCGCTCCTGGCTACAAAGTTTCAATTATAGAAGGTAAATAAATTCCAGATACCAGGGCCTCCACTTGGGTTACAGGGGGTGTGTAGCTGGCCTGAAAATCACCACAGGCCCCTCGCTGAGGCTGCCCCACGGCCCAAGGGAACCCTCACCCTGATCCTGGACACCCTTCAGGTGTTGCATGCGTGATCCCCATCCCCAGTCAAGGCACATGAGTGAGGCAACCAATTGATGTGTCTCTCTCACATTGGCCTCTGTCTCTCTCTCTCTCTCTCTCTCTCTCTCTCTCTCTCTCTCTCTCTCTCTCTCTCTCTCTCCCCCCCCCCATCTTCTCCCTCCCCTCCACTCTCTCTCCAAAAAAAAAAAAAAAAAAATCAATGAAAAATATCCTCAGGTGACACTGCAACATTCTTACAAAGTAAACAAAAAGAAATTTGTTCACATACTATGGTTATCATTATATAAAGAAAATCATAAGCAAGAAAAATACCAAAGTACCAACAGTTGGTAAGAATAACAATTTCTTTTTTTTAATATATTTTATTGATTTTTTTACAGAAAAGAAGAGAGATAGTTAGAAACATCAATGAGAGAGAAACAACAACCAGCTACCTCCTGCATACCCCCAACCGGGGATGTGCCCGCAACCAATGTACATGCCCTTGACCGGATCGAACCTGGGACCTTTCAGTCCGCAGGCTGACGTTCTATCCACTGAGCCAAGCTGGTTTTGGCAGAATAATGATTTCTTTATTTGAACTTTTAAAATTTTCTCTAATGTAGTTATATCATATTACATTTACAATGAAGAAAGAAAAAGAAAAAAACTTTCAACGAAGAGATCCAAACAAGTTTCCTCTGGCTCTAATATTTTGGGGCTTTTCCCTGGAACTAGGAGAAGTCAGGAAAGAATAAAATGTTAGAAAAGTTTACATGGCAGGGGCTATGCCTGTTTAAATTACTTTTAACAGCATGTAAAAACATTTAAAAACCAGCACGTGAGGAAATGATGCAACACCCTCCTTCTGGTGGTAGAAAGGGCACAAGTCTGGGAAACAGGAGACCTGAACTGAACCAGATGATCTCTAAGGGCCCTCTTTATACAACCTATCCACTCACTTATAGAATAAATATCTACCAAGTGCCTGCCATGTGTCAGGAACATGTAACTGGATGACTACTTAGCTACTGGTTCAGAGTCTACTGGTTCAGAAGGGGGGAGGTGGGGAATTTAGTTTGCTAGGGCTGCCACCGTAGCAAAATACTGTTTCACGGTTCTAGAAGATAGAAGTTGTTTTGGTTTCTTATAAAGCCTCTCTCCTAGGCATGCAAATGGACCTCTTCTTGGCCATTCCTCTGTACACATTCATCCATAGTGTTTCTTTATGTGTTCAAATCTCTTCTTATAAGGACCCCAGTCAGATTGGATTAGGGCCCACCAAAAATAACTTCATTTTAACTCACTCCCCTCTTTAATGGCCCTATCTCCAAATACAGACATTCTGAGGTATAATACTAAGAGTTAGGGTTTCAACAAGAATTTTGAGAGGGAAACAATTCTATTCACAACAGATTTCAAACAAAAAACTATAATTGTGTAAAAATAGAGCTGCACTCAAATATGATGGTAACCATGTAAAGTAATAATTAATTCTGACAGCAATAGCCAAAAGTACTACAGAAGATCATTACCCAGTCTTGTTCTAGCTCCAGAACCTCCAGTTTATATATAAACCGTCATCCTTGATTGTCATAAAAAAATATTTTAGTTATCACAAAATGGGAATAAAAAAGCACCAGGTGCCAAAACCGGTTTGGCTCAGTGGATAGAGCATTGGCCTGCGGACTCAAGGGTCCCAGGTTCAATTCTGGTCAAGGGCATGTACCTTGGTTACAGGCACAACCCCAGTAGGAGGTGTGCAAGAGGCAGCTGATCAATGATTCTCTCTCATTGATGTTTCTAACTCTCTATCCCTCTCTCTTCCTCTCTGTAAAAGATCAATTAAATATATATATATATATATATATATATATATATATATATATATATATATATATATATATTTTTTTTTTTTTTTATTTTTTTTTTTTTTTAAAGCACCAGGTGATAAAACATACCTGAATAGAGGCCAAAAGAGGAATGGCTTTTGATCCAGGGAAGCAAAGGTAAATGTCATATTTTTATAGTTAGACTGGGATTAGGTATTCAAATACCACAAACAGAGGTCAGGTGAAGATCCTGATGGGTTTATAGAATAATCTGCTCCTTCCTTAAGTTATGAGGATTTTATAGTGTGTGTTTGGCTGGGGAGAGAGGAAGAGAAGATGGTTTTGATTAAGCCCCATCTCTGTCCTCTCTTCCATTCAGAAGCCATTCTTTCTCTACTTACCTCCAGCTAAACTTTTCTCTAGGCTGGATTTTCAACCTCAATTCTTTATCTGTTTAAAATACTCTTCTCTTCAGTACTTGAGTTAAAATACTCCTAGACCCCTAAGTTTAAAAAGGAAAAGAAATGGAACTGAACTAAACTAGATAGCACAATGCTGGAGGACCATTTCTGTTGGCCCTTGCCCTTTCCAGATTCTGGAAGTGAGCTGTTTACTTTCAACAGGGGTCGCCAGAGGACAAAGGGACAAACGCCAGGCTTCTGGGAGGTGGCTCCAGGAAGGTGGCCAAGAATGTGAGTGCAAAGGTCAGTAACTCAGTCTCAACAGTGGTACACCATCGAGATACCCCAATCCTCTCCCTTGAGTCCCTGAGACGAATGCAGAAGTTAGCTGAGCTGACTCACCCATTCCCCTCTCCACCAGCCCACCTCATGCAGAGCTAATACTTGTTTTCTTCTGGAGTCTCTTAAGAAGGCTGACTCCTCTCTGCCTGCCAACTTTCCCTTATTTTTTCCCTAAGAACCCAGGGCCACCTTCCCAAAGCTTCCTGGAAGCTTCCTGGATCTTATTCTCAACCTTATTTTACTTACAGGTAAGACTAAAATCAGGCAAAATGGCTTGCTCCAGGTAAAGCAGCTACTGGAAGATATTGCCCTAGCCAATTGCTCAGTAGTTAGAGTGTCAGCCCAAAAACCAAAGGGAAGGCTGACACCTATGTCTTATTCCTAATTTTTTTAGTCTCCCTAATGATATCCTGCTGCCCTCTCCACACCTGCCACTAAATTCTTGCCAACACAGACCAGGAAAAAAATGCTCAGAAATCCTATATAATAAAAGCCTAATATGCAAAGCCAAACATGCCAGGAGTTTGACCGAGAGCTCAACTGGGGGGTGGGAGGGCTGTGCAGGACCAGCTGGCCAACTGCCCAAGGCCCCTCGCCCCAGCCGGCCCTGCCACCAATCATCACCCGTCCCCCCCAAATCAGGGGCAGGGCCAGCCAGCCAACCTCCCACATTCCCTCCTCCCACACCTACCCCCTCTCCCCCATCAGCCCGGCCCAATCAGCCCCAATCATGGCAGGCCTGCTGGACCCAACCCATGCACTAATTCATGCACCAGGCCACTAGTACATTTATAACTGGATATCTCCACTGTTCCATGTTGACCCTTTTCCCCATCCCATTGTAGTATTAAAAAAGCAAAGATGGCGAGTAAAGTCCTACTCTACTCCCTACTCCCATCTTAGCAGCAACCTTGTTATTTCAGATTGGTTCCTGAGAGCTCCTAAAAGAAAACTCATGGCAGTGCCCAGGCTTCCAAAGAAGCAGTGTCCCTGTGATCATTTGAAGGGCAATGTGAAAAAAAACAGTAAGTTTCAAAAGAATGAAACTTCTTAAACCAGAGTCACTCGGTGGAATCAACTAGGCATGAAGCAGGGGCTGAGAACAGACAATAGAGGTGAAATGAAGACCAGGATAAACATCTCAGCACTTTCTACTTGTGGAGAAACAGGAAGAGGAAGAAAAGCAGGATACAATTCTCCTAATACTAGAAAGGTTTAACCAAGTCTTAGATTTTCAAACTTAGATTATCAAAGTAGAGGAAGATTGGGAACCTGATCAGTGATTTCTGAAAATGACACCAGAGTCACATAAGCAGTGTGGCTTAGTGGTTGAAGGTTGTTGACCTATAAACCAGGAGATCACAGTTAGATTCCCAGTCAGGGCACATGCCCCGGTTGCCGGCTCAATCCCCATTACAGGGGCATGTAGGAGGCAGCCAATTAATGATTCTCATCATTGATGTTTCTATCTCTCCCTCTCCCTTCCTTTCTGAAATCAATTAAAAATATAATTTAAAATAGGCAAAATTAAACTAAATTATACATATATATATATATATATATATAGAGAGAGAGAGAGAGAGAGAGAGAGAGAGAGAGTAAAACAATAAAGAAAATAGTAGCCAGGCCAGTGTGGCTCAGTGATTGAGTGTCGCCCTTTGATTCTGGATCAGGGCACATACCTCCATTGTTGGCTTGACCCACAGTGGGGGAGAGAGGATGTGGGAAGCAGCCAATCAATGACCCTCTCATCATTAATGTTTTTATCTCTATTTCTCCCTTTCTCTCTGAAATAAATAAAAATATTTTTTAAAAGTAAATGCTTACTATAAAAGTCAGGGGGAAAGAGAGAATAGTGATCAGAAAAGGAGGGGGATGATGCCAATATTCTATTTCTAGGCCTGGGTTATAGTTTCATGAACATCTGCTTTATAACTATTTATTGAACTGAACATATAAGTTTTTATGGACTCCTATATAATATAAGCCTATATAATAAAGCCTAATGCTTCGTATCCGGTCGTCCGTTCAACCAATCAAAATAATATGCTAATAATATGCTAAGGTCACTCAACCGCTCACTATGACATGGACTGACCACCAGGGGGCAGACAATAGATTGGTTGACCAGTTGCTATGATGTGCACTGACCACCAGGGAGAAGATGCTAACAATAGAATAGCTTGCTGCTGGGATCTGGCTGGTTGGGACTGAGCTAGATAGGCTAGACACACCCTGAAGCACTCCTGCAGTCCCTTCCCAGCTGGCCAACCTCCTGCATCCCTCTCTGGCCCCAATTATGCACCAGTCGCCTGGCCAGCACCTTCTCACAATCCAGGAACCCTCGAGGGATGTTGAAAAGCAGTTTCAGCCTGATCTCACAGGCCAGGCCGAGCTACCCCACTGGTGCACGAATTCATTCACTGGGCTTCTAATATATGTATAATATTTTGTAATAATAAAATATGCTGAGACCGATTTGGCTCAATGGATAGAGTGTCAGCCTGGGGACTGAAGGGTCCCGGGTTCGATTCCAGTCAAGGGCATGTACCTTGGTTGCTGGCATATCCCCAGTAGGGGGTGTGCAAGAGGCAGCTGATCGATGACTCTCTCTCATCGATGTTTCTAACTCTCTGTCTCTCTCCCTTCCTCTCTGTACAAAACCAATAAAATATATATATATTTTTTTAAAGATTAGTTTTAAAAAAAAATATTTGCTAAAGGTGCAAAGCAAAACAATATATACTGGTATGGTATAATCTCATTTTTATGTTTTTTAAGGATTTATTTATTCTTGTTGTTGTTGTTAATCCTCACCTAAGGATATTTTTCCATTGAATTTTAGAGAGTGTGGAAGGAAGGGGGAGAGACAGAGAGAAAAAGAAACATCAATGTGAGAGAGACACATAGTTTGATTGCCTCCCACATGCGCTCCTACCTGATTGAGCCAAATTGGCTAGGGCTCATTTTTTTTTTAAATATATTTTATTGAGTTTTTACAGAGAGGAAGAGAAAAGGATAGAGAGTTAGAAACATCAATGCCAGAGAAACATCAATCAGCTGCCTCTTGCACACCCTCCACTGGGGATGTGCCCACAGCCAAGGTACTTGCCCTTGACTGGAATCGAACCTGGGACCTTTCAGTCCACAAGCCCATGCTCTACCCACTGAGCCAGACTGGTTTCAGCTCGTTTTTATTTTTTAAAGTAAACTTAATAGTTTACATACAAAAAGATATGGGAGACTATATAGTAAAATATTAACAGCAGTTTGTTCTAGGGAATGGGGAGTGGAATTGGGGGAATTTAAATTTTTTTTTGATATTTTTTAAATTATTTTCCCCTGGATAGTCTTACTTTTGTAATTTTAAAAGCTCTCATAAAAAATAAATTTTAAAAAATTTTAACACTATTGTCTCCCCTTTATTTCCACCCTAGATCGCCAAAGGCACCACAGGAAGCCAAACAAGCACTACAGAGCCTGCCAGCAATTTATCAAACGCTGTCAGCTAGCAAGCTTAACTCTGCCTCTATAGGAGCTCTGAGAGCCCTCTCTCCCAATGAAACATTCTTAGTCAAAAGAGAATGCTCTTCTCCCACCTCAATTCCCTCTCATTGTCCCCACTCCCTAAATCATTCCAGGGTTCTCAAAAAGCATTTTTCCCAAGATTATTTTGATTATTGCTCCCTCTAGTGCTTTCTCTTGTGTTTTCCTGTACCCTCTCATAATTCAGGCTTCATTTAAACTTAATTACCTGAAAGAAATCAGAAAACCCTGACTCCCTAGCTGGTTCCATCTGACCTTAAATACAACCAGGAAAATAGCAAACAGAAGCCAAGAAATATTTTTTTATGTTTAGAGCCCAGCAGATGTGGCTCAATGGTTGAGGGTCAACCTATGTATGAACCAGGAGGTCATGGTTTGATCTGGGTCAAGGCACATGCCCAGGTTCCAGGCTAGATCCCCAGTGGAGGGCATGCAGGAGGTAGCCGATCAATGATTCTCTGTCATCATTGATGTTTCTCTCTCTCCCTCTCCCTTCCTCTCTGAAATCAATAAAAATATACTTTGAAAAGAGTGTAATAGGTCAAAATCATTTCTTGCTAAAGAGGTCTAGCAACTCACATTTAATCTAAATGACCCACTTTACCCTGTTCACTATAAACTCAACCCAGATTCTACATCTACACATACTTCTTCCAACCAAACAGATCTTTTCCAATCTCTCTCTCTCTCTCTCTCTCTCTCTCTCTCTCTCTCTCTCTCTCTTTCCTGTCAAATTTTTCATTCTTTTACTCTTTCAACAAATCTTTCTGAGGTAAGAGCTAAGTAGGACAAAGAAAACAAGTATAGCAATGAATCAGACATGGTCTTATCCTATCTAATAAAGAGGGAATATGCAAATTGACAATCACACCCTCACAAAGATAGTGGCGCCCACAGCCAATAAGGAGGGAATATGCTAATTGACTGTCACACCCTCAAAGATGGCAGCACCCACAGCCACAAGATGGCGACACCAGTCCCCTCAGCCCTGCCACAGTGGCAGACGCATACCACTTGCCTCTGGAGTTCCCCTGTCCCCTCAGCCCCCCCAGGCACACAGGGCCAGCCCAAGGCATAGGCAAGCCTCAGATGGTGGCTACCCAGCCGATGCCCAAGGCACAGGCAAGCCTTGGATATTGGCTGCCCAACTGCCCAGGGCTGGACCAAGGCACAGGAAAGCCTCAGATGGCAGCTGCCCAGCCACCCAAGGCCACCCAAGGCTCAGGTAACCAGGGCCAGCTGAGGTTTATGCCGCCACAGTGACAGCAGCAGAGGTGTGATGGGGGCATTGCCTTCCCCTAATTGTTGGGTTGCCTCCTGCCCCTGAGGGCTCTCAGACTGTGAGAGGGGACAAGCCGGGCTGAGGGACCATTCCTCCAGTGCATGAATGCACTGGGCCTCTAGTCTATAATAATTATAATATGCTAATTAGACCAGATAGCTTAACAACCTTCCAGATGTCATTTCAGATATCCTTCCAGATAAAGCTGCCAGGCTGAGGCAGAGGTGGTTAGAGGAAATCAGGCAGCCAGGCAGGTGAGCAGTTAGGAGCCAGCAGTCCTGGATTTCAAGAGGGTGCAGGCAAGGCTGAGGGACTTCTCCACCTCCCCCCATTCATGAATTTTGTGCACCAGGCCTCTAGTTAAAGATAATATAGGTCTAAAAAACTATATACTAGGTAATTTCCTAGTATATAGAACACTTTTAGGATTTGTGGTTGTTATCATCATCATCATCATCAAGGGTCACTGTACTCTGTGAGTTTCCAAACTAGTACAGAAGACATATATGCAGAACCATAGATTCAGAGCTAGAGAGATAGTGTGGGAGATCTCAAATACCATTGAAAAGGGTTTCAAGCTGTACAAATAAGAGGAAGTCATTCATTTTTTTAACATGGGAGTGAAATTAGAATGATAATATTGGGTCGGCAGCTAAGTAATTGCGGATTTTTTAAGGAAAATCAAAGACAATTTTTTCATGGAACTAAATAACTTTATTCTGTAATGTATTGCCCATTTTGATCAATGACCTTTTGCCATCTTTCAGGCAGCATCATAATCCCACGTTCAAAAAACTTCTGGTTTTTATTAGCAAAAAACTGAATCAGGTACGATTTGACATCATCATCATTATTGAAATTTTTACCATTCAAGGAGTTTTGTAAAGATCGAAACAAAAAGTAATCAGATGATGCAAGGTCAGGACTAGATGGTGGATGTGGCAAAACATCCCAACCAAGCTCCATTAATTTTTGCCGAGTGACCAAAGATGTGTGTGGCCTTGCATTGTCATGATGGAATACAACACCTTTTCGATTTGTCAATTCGGGCCGCTTTTCTTCAACTGCATTGTTTAATTTTGTTAGTTGTTCAATGTAGACATCAGAATTGATCGTTCGGTTGGGTGGTAAGAGTTCAAAGTAGACAATTCCTTTGTAATCCCACCAAACTGATAACAAAACCTTCTTTTGATGAATATCAGCTTTTGATGTTGTTTGAGTTGGTTCACCTGGCCTGCTCCACGATCTTTTCCGCTTGATATTGTTGTAAACAACCCATTTTTCATCGCCAGTTATCAGTCGTTTTAAAAACGGATCATTTTCATTACGTTTCTTTAGCAAATCGCAGCTGCTAATGCGTTGCGTTAACTGTGATTCTTTCAGTTCGTGAGGAACCCATGTATCGAGTTTTCGAACATAGCCAAGTTGTTTTAAGTGATTTTCAATGCATGTATGTGATACATGAAGCTTCTCTGCAATCTCACGTGTTGTACTGTGACAGTCCGAATTGATTATTGCTTTGATTAGGGCGTCATCAACTTCAACTGGACGACCAGAGCGTTTTTCATCTTTGAGTGAAAAATCACCAGAACGAAATTTGGCAAACCAATTTTGACACTGCCATTCTTTTAAGGCTTCGTCACCATAAACAGCACATAACCTTTTATGAGCTTGTGATGCGTTTTTCCCTTTGCGGAAATAAAAAAGCAAAATATGACGAAAATGTTCCTTTTGATTTTCCATTTTTCAACGAATGCCAAACGAAAACTACAAAACAGATCAAAAAACTTTTTTTACTGATTAACAGCTGGATAGCCAACTATCAAATAAAAAAATGTGTTTTACATTTGTACTATGTCTGCAAACCTAAAAATTCAACTGAAGCCATATATGCGTGGAACCCGCAATTACTTAGTTGCCGACCCAATATAAGGAAATTAAGCTGGCAACTACTTGAAAGTATAAATAAATTAGAAAAGATTATTACTACAGTATAGAGACAGCTTCCCCCTCTGATCCTTTCCTCAAACATCAGAAGGTGATGGGAAAAAAGGAACACCCATCCATGATCTGACTTCTGTCATCCCAAAGGACTAAGTTGGATGCTGCCTTATGAGAAAACAAAAACAAAAGCATTTTAACTGAGTGGTGAGTAGGGTGGGGCTCTATTTATGACACAAGAGGGCAAGCCCCTCCCCTCTGGTAGAAGAGTGGTAGGCAACCAACCTCCTCCTGTTTCTAACCCACAGGAGTTGGGGCCAGCAGTGGCCAGCCCACTTGCCAACTGCCTAAAAAAGACCAGGAATGCCAGGATAAAGGAGTGGAACCCAAAGAGAGGTGTCATCATGAGGAATCAATGAGGCATCTGTGACAAAGGAGGCCTGGTGGGGGCCAGAAGAATGAAGCCTGGGAGAACCACATCTCCCATGATGGAATTAACAACAGTGGATCCAGGTCCTAAGTCAGTATCTAAACCTGACTGGGAACCTGAACCACACCAGATACCTATCACCCAGCCAGAGCCTGACCCAGAAAAGACACCCACAGCACAGCCAGCATCTAAGACTCAGCAGGGACCCAATACCCAGCAGGAGCCTGCTTCCCAGCAAAGACCCCTCACTCAGCAGGAGTCCCTTGCCCAACATGAAGCTGAATCCCAGCAAGAAACTAGAGCCCAACAAAAATCTGCTTTACAGCAAGAAATCCTTGCCACACAGGAACCTGCACCACAGCAATCACCTCCCACCCAAAAGGTGCCCTTCACTCCAGAGGGAGCTGCCTCACAGCCAGGACCTGGGACAGAAAAAGAATCTACATCTCAACAGGAGCCAGAATTGGAAGAGGAATATGTGGCTCATCCAGCACCTGGCCCACCAGAGCCATCTCTAGCACAACAAGAAGCTGGATCAACACCTCCTTCCCAAACTGAATCTATGTCCCAAGAAAAAGCAGGACAGTCAGACCATACAGGCCAGCAAACGGCCCCAGACAAAACCCAGCAGGGATCTTTGACCGAGTGGGGATTTCTATCAAAACTTCATGAACTATCCATACAGAGGCCAGCCTCCGAGTGGAAGACATTTCTTGAGTGGATCACAGATTTTGACTCAGAATCAGAATCGGGGTATCCATTTTTTGAGACCGATTCACCAGCCATGAAGGATGGAACAATGAGCCAGGGGATGAAGTTGGACCCCAAGGAGAAGCCTGGTTATGAAGAGATGTCAGGAAGTGGTGGGACATCAGCCCAGGGCACGCAAACCAGCAACCAGAATCACAGACACTCCTGGGACTCGGGTGAGTTGCGCTTAGATGAGAGTCTCCTAGGGATGGTTATTCATTCAGTCAAGAAGTACTGGGACCCTCTATCCCGGGAGCAAGCCAGTGCCTTTCCCTTCCCTCGTCCCTTCCCCCAGCATGTCACCTTTAGCTTCCTCACTCCCAAACTCCACACACCCTTCCTTTACCCTATAATTTAAAACATTTTTTAAATAGAAAAAAAACAACTAGGAGCTGCCTATCTCAGGTCAGCTCAGGTGATTCCTCAAAGGTTCTGTGAAACAAAGATCAACAGCCCCATTTGATAGATGAGGAAGCCGAGGCCTTGAGATGTAAAGGATCTGACACGAGGGGGTGGCAGTAGGAAGTCAGGCTAGGATTCAAAGCCAAGGAGTCTGCCTTTCTTCCAAGGATTTGAGGCAAATCAAAGTGTGAAAAGGTCCTGAGCTAGGGGCCAGAACAACTACGAAGCCTGCCAGTATTCATCCATCCCTCCCCAAACCCACTGAAGCACAATCTGGGGGCAAACACTGGAGTGTGCACCAGAGACACAGGCTGAATGGGGCGCCTTACCCTCAGGGAGTTTCCATCCCGACGAGGCCCCCGTCTGTGCCTTAGCCATCCTTGAGCTGTCGGATCTTCCCTCCGCATCAGGACACTTGCTCTCCTTCCCAGGCTGGCCCCCCAGAGAAGTCCCAGTCCAGCCAGGCCTGAAGGCCTTATGGGTTGTGTTCTGGAAGGGAGAGCCTAGGAGAGGAGCTGGGGTCTGCCAAGTCCCAGACAAGGTTGGGGCAAGAGGAAGGCAGAATTGGGGGTAGTGGAGGGGAGAGTGATGGCTGCCTGCCCTCCCCTCCTCTGAAGCAGTGCGAGGAGGGAGGAGGGTGTATCTCCCCTTCCCATTCTCTAGGCTCCAAAGCCCTGCCAGGCAGAAGCAGGCATCAGGTTTTCTCCCCGGAATGAGGGGTTGTTTATTGAAGTAGCCGGAGCAGGGAAACTTGCAGTCCCACTCCAGAAGCTGAGGGCGGCACGGGCACTGGTGGCCCAGCCCACAGGCCTAAACACACACACACACACACACACACACACACACACACACACACGCGCGCGGCGGGGGGAGGGGGAAGGGGGACTGGCTTGTCCCTCTCAGAGATGAGAGGGTAATTGGTGTCATTGCCAAGGCTGGTGGTAGGCCTTAGGAGGGTGGGAAGGAGGGGTGGGATGGAAAGAGAGGGAGAGAGGGTTCCAGGCGTCTTTCCGGTGCTGAGGGTGAAGAGTTGTGTCTCTGAGGCCCCCAAGCCGCCGGAGCGACCAGGCCGCCTCTCCTGAAGCGCCCAAGCGCCGTTGAGTGTGTGCGCATGCGGGAGCCTCGAGCCGCCACTGTTTCCCGCCTTTTTCCGGGCGCGCGCCTCTCCAGCCGCCGCCCCTCCCTGCCCCCGGGGCGTCTTGGGGCTACTACGCAGGCGCCTAGTCCTCTCCTTGCTTCTCCCTCTCATTCCTGACGGAGAAGAGAAGGTAGAGCAGGGGTCTTCAAACTACGGCCCGCGGGCCACATGCGGCCCGCAGAGGAGTCTGATCCGGCCCACCAGGTTTTTTGGGCAGTGAGCGCAGCCGAGGTGTTACAGTAGGAATTAGTATTGGGTCGGCAACTAAGTAATTGCGGGTTTTTTAAAGAAAATCAAAGACAATTTTTTCATGGAACTGATTAACAGCTGAATAGCCAACTATCAAATAACAAAATGTGTTTTACATTTGTACTACGTCTGCAAACCTAAAAATTCAACTGAAGCCATATATGTGTGATGCCCGCAATTACTTAGTTGCCGACCCAATACTATAGTCCGGCCCTCCAGTTCATATAGTCCGGCCCTCCAGCTCTCTGAGGGACCGTGATCTGGCCCCCACTTTAAAAAGTTTGAGGACCCCTGAGGTAGAGAAAGGAACCTTGAGAGATGGAGCAACAAGAAACCTAGGAGGCAGGGGGCGGGGAGAAGGAGGGGCTTCCTCCTCCAATGGCTCGCAGGCAGAGTCCGCCTCCAGCGCTGGCGTCCCGCCCCGACTTTGAGTTGCCCGAGGACCTGGCCCGCCCCCAGTCCTCAAGAGTAGGCTCCGCGGCGCCTCGCTGTCCCCGCGAGCGGGCGGGCTGGGTGGCGTTCTAAGGGATCCCCACATGGGAAGGTGAGTGGGAGGGCAAAGCTGAGAACCTACGTGTGATAAGATCGAGGCTCCCGTGCTAGGGAGACCACCGTGAGACTCCCCGCTAGCTAGTCCTGACTGAAGAAGGGCGCGCTGCGCCGCCTCCAGGGCTGCATTTTTGTCTGTCGCGGATCCTTGATGCGTACGAGGGGGCGGGGCCAGTCCTTAGGTCCCGGCCGCTGGGGGCGGGGCCCGGCGGTGGGGTGAGGCCCGGATAGTGCAGGGGGCGGGACCCAAGGCGGAGCAAGCCCGGGATTGGGTGGTATGGGGGCCTGGCGGGGTTGTGTGATAGGGATTGGCCCTCGGAGTGGGGCGTGGGGCTTGGAATTGGTCCCCGCGGGGAACTGAGGAGAATTAATGGAGTCAGCGGGGGAAGCGGGGCCTGCCGGGGCCCCTTGGGAGCCGGCCTCGAAGAATGACAAAGAGAGATCCAAGAGGCAGAGCCGCCGGGAATGGCGAAAAGTCAAGGCCAAAGGTGAGCACGTGGGGGCCGGCCACAGCCCGGAAGGAACCTTGGACATCCTGCGGGGAACTAGGACTGAGTGGACTGACCCACCACCTCAAGAAGTAGGGGAGTCCGTGGACTGGCCCATTGCTGCCCTGCGGGGGAGTGCGGAGATGCTGGGAGCGGAATATACCCCTTGCGCAGAGACTACGGGACGCTCCACCGCTGTCTTGGCAGGAGAGTCCCGAATGCGAGTCTTCTGGGCCCGAGTTCCCGCTCCGGCTCCGTACTAGCTGTGTGACCGTAGGCAACTCCTGCCCTCAGTGTTTCCCACCTGGGAAGTGGTAGGAGCGCCTGAGATTTTCAGGTCTCAGGCACTCTTGAGAGGATAGTAAGGAAGAAGTTTATAAGCTGTTGCCCAAAGAGGAAGTTTGGGAGTGAGTCAAAGAAAGGTAGTGGGAAAGGTGCCCCAGAGAGGGAGATGCCAGACGTGTACTCCCAGCCTTCATTCATTCCATCCATTTCCTGTCAGTTCACCTGCTTGCTGCAGCCCCCTTTCCCTGGGGCCTAACTTCCTGATCCCCACTCCTTCTAGGACTAGGGGTTCCTGGGTTGGTTTCTGACTGCCACACTCTCCCTCAGGAGAAGGGAGGTCTGTCACCTGGGTTCCTAGGGTGCCACATTATTAACTGAAAGACAGTCCAACGAAGATGGGCAGGGGCTGGCCAAAATTCCTTGCTCAGTTTTGAATATTTGTCAATCCAAATGATTGTAGAAAGTTCCTGTGTAGACAAGAAACTGGCTTAGTCCCTGGGCCCCAGAGACCCCAAACTCTTCATTGTACGTCCCTGTCAAGGATAGAACTGGAATTGGCCCCAGAGGCACATGCAGGCTCTGACGGGTCGGACTGTTGCCCCAGGGCATTGACTATCAGCAAAACAGGATCACAAGCAGGGCAGAGTGCCCAGAGGCAGTCAATAGACCATGGTTAAACATGGGCACTGGTTCTTCAGGCTATATCCTGTGGTACACTGGGCAATGGGCTCCTTCCTTCCCTGCCTCAACTTTTTGGATATAATAAGGGTGCCTGACTTGTAGGGCTGTTGTGAGGTTTGAATGAACGCAGTTCCTCCCCCCCCCCCCATTAGCTAGCAAGCTCCCTAAGAGTGGAGTTTTGTCTGCCTTGTTTACCTTGCATGTCTAGAGCCTGCTATGCCAGGCACATAAACACTTAAATACTTACTGAATTAATAAGTAAAGGAATGTGTGAAGTGTAACCCTGGGACAATAATCATCGTGTTGCATTGGGATCGTCATGGAGAGTCAGAATCCTCTTGGGCAGGACTTCCTGCACGGGGCTGAGCCAGTCCTCACAAATCCGTGGGCCCGCCTACTCACAAAGGTTCATTCCCCCAAGCTCTGAGATTTGCCTCTCATTTCCTGAGGTCCTGCCCTGGTGCCAGGTCTCAGTTGGGTGAATCATTCCCCACCCCTGCCCCAAGGGCATCCAGGCTGGCTGGTGCAGTTCTAGTCATCAATTTGATCTTGCCAGTAACCTGATGACAATAGTGTCATTATGAGCACCTTATTTCCCAATTGGTGACACTGAGACTCTGAGGGAGCAAGGTCACCTGGGTTTTCTTATCTGGTCAGTGAGGGCAGAGAAATAGCTGCCCCCAGCCTCCTGAGGGCAGGGAGTGGGGAATGATTCACTCAAAATTAGTTAAAATTAATGTTAGCTCAAAATTGCTGTGCGTCCCAACCATAATTTGTTCATCAGACATTCACTGAACACTTATTTAGGCCAGGCCTGGGCTCTTGGAGGTAAGGCAGACACATTGGAGCTGTAGATGCAGACATTAATCAAATAATCTCACAAGCCAGATATAAACTGATGTATACAAGAGGGAAATTCCTGAGATAATGTAAGAGAGAGGCTTCCCAAGAAGGTGACATTGGACCCAAGGATGGCTGCTTGAGCAAGGGGGCAGGGAGGACAGAGGGGACAGAATGGCCAGAAACCCTGAGACCCAAGAAAGCAGCACATTACAGCACAGAGGGAGCTCATCAAGGGAGGGGAGGAAGAAAGGCAGGGCAGGCACGGGGCCCAGATGGTCTCTACTTTAGGAGACCATGTCCAGGATGTGGAGCTTTTTCCTGAGAGGAAGGGTTGGGCTTTTGAGAGTTGGGAGCGTATTTTAGAAAGAGCCTGGCTGCTATGTGGAGCAAAGACTGGAAGGGGCAAAATCAGAGACTGTAATGAGTTACAGTTATCCAGATATGGGAGCAGTCGGGGTGGGAGAAGGATCAGGTTCCAGAGGGTTCTAGGGGGCAGAGTGGAAAGGACTTCATGATGGATTAGATGGGGATAGGAAACGGCCAGGATGATTCCCTGGGTTCTGGCTTGAGCAAATGGGGAGTGATGCTTTCGCCACACACACATACATACACACATACTAGGATATGCACAAATATCTATATACTATAGGACTGATGCATAAGATTTGTGCACTGGGCAGGGGGAGGGGTCCCTCAGCCTGGCCTGCACCCTCTCACAGTCTGGGACCCTTCAGGGGATGTCCGCCTGCTAGCTTAGGCAGTCAGACATCTCTCTCACAGTCAGGGGCTCTCACAATCTGGGGCCCCTTGCTTCTACTGTCCACCTGCAGTGGAGGCAGGAGAGGCTCCCACCACTAACACTGTGTTCATCAGTCTTGAGCCCGGCTTCTGGCTGAGTGCCACTCCTCCTGTGGGAGTGCACTGACCACCAGGGGGCAGCTCCTGCATTGAGAGTCTGCCCCCTAGTGGTCATTGTGTGTCATAGCGACTGGTTCTGCCATTCGGTCAATTTGTATATTATGCTTTTATTATATAGGATATCTATACGCATACATACGCAGGCCCACACAGTCTCTCTCACGGGCTGAGAAGAACACATGTGGACTGTGACACATGCATAAAAACATGCCTTCAGATACACCAAGAAACAAAAACGCACAGATTGAGAAAAAATGTCAACATAACCAAAGGCCAGGACAAATAATAGCCATGACCCTAACCTATGTATGTACATACATGCATGTGAACCTCAGACACACTCACACCCGACCACCCAGAAAGCACACACCTGAGACATGACAGAGAGAAGGAACAACACTCAGATCCACTATCCTTGCTGGTTCTGTGACCTTGGGCAGCATGCCACCTCTCCAGGTCTGGTTTCTCATCTGCCAAAAGGGGTGATAGCAGTCCTTCCTCATGCATCCTGGGGAGGATAAAATGAGTTACTTCATAAAAAGCACAAACATCAGTGCCTGGCTCACGACAGTCAGTCCTTAGAATACTGTTTGCTCTGAGGGGAACACTCGGGGAAACTGGCTACACTCACTGGCCCCCCTTCTTCACTTGTACCCAGGCATACCCCATGCAGAAACCCTTAGTCTTCCCAGGCCCCAGACCGCGCCCTTCCTCCATCCTCCCCGCACTTCTTTCCCCCATTGCCCTGCTCAGTCCCCAGGGGCCAAAATCCAGGCCTGATTCAGCTGCCCCGTGGCTCTCTAGGGCAAAGGGCTGGTGCCCAGACAACAGGACCCTTCAGCCCTACCTCTGTCCCAGTCCTCGCCCATGGCCCTGGTGGGCCTGCCCCTATCCCAGTGCCCTATGCCTGGGATTCTTGGCGAGTTTCTGGCAATCTCAACATCCCTTCCTGCCAGTTCCACCCAGCCTAGCCCCCAGGGAGCTGCCTAGAGCAGGGCGAAGGGCAGAGCCCTAGAATCATGAAGGCCTGGGATCCAGCCTGTTCGCCACTGCTTTGTGCAAGTTCCTGTTCTGTCCAGGTCTCCTCTGCCCTCATCTTCAATAAAGAGCCCTTAGCGCATGGAGGGAAGTAAATAACAGTGGGTTTATAAAGTGGGAAACCACAGCCTGTTAGGCAATAAATACCACACGCTGGCCACGCTCCAGGCACTGTGCAAGGGGTTTGGTACAGCAATAAAACAAAGTCCCTGCCATCAGGGAGCTTATAAACTGATGAGAGAGACAAAAAGCAAACACATAAATAGTCAATTAATTAGTATGCTAGCATTTGGCACCACAGAGGAAAATGACCCGGTACATACCTTGGTGAGGCCATGTGAGAACCACCAGACAGACAGCTGTAGAACAGGCTGCCCAGACGGCAGGCAGGATGGCCAAGTGCAATTTCCAGATGAGAAATGCAGGCTCATCCAGGACCACCTGGTGAGTAGTTTGGGCCAGTGTTCCCTTGACACAACCACCAAGCTTAGAGTTGCCTCCAGAGGCCTCTGTCTGTCCATCTTGTCTGCCCTGGGGAGGGGTAGTCAACTCCCAAGCTCCCATCCATCCCCTTCTCCCTTCCACTGGGCTTTCTTCCTTCTTCAGATATTTGCTGGGCGCCTCCTATGTGCTAGGCCCCATGATGGGCCTGTCCTCATGGGGATGGGTATTTAAGGGGAAGAGAAAGGATTCACCTCCAGCCAAGACTTCAGGGCCTCTCATTTGCCTATTCCCCTCCAAGATCCTGTACCTAATTTTGTATTTGTGATTTTATATTCCTTTTCCTAAACACCCCTCTTCCACACATGTAAGTTTCATAGTTCTTATAAGCTTCACCGCTCTAAATCCTGATTCTGCCCCTGGGTACAGACAAATAATACACATGTAAACAAACAAATGTATAATTACAAATGTGTAAAGTTCTAGGAAGAACAATTTAAGTATGTTGGCAGAAAGTAGTGCTGGGTGGCATAGCTCCTTTAGAGATGAGCAGTTAGGGAATGCTTCTTCAAGGAGATGACAAGCTAAGGACTGAAGGGCAAGAAAGAGCTGGCCAGGCAAGAAGCTTGTGTCTCTCAGCCTTGTTTTCCCCACATGAGGCAGACAGAACGGGCACAGCAGGATGTGCTGCTAAGTGGCTAAGTGGCAGGTACAGGATGCCAGTGTGAGAACACCACACAATAGGACCTGTGGCTCAGGCCCTAGCTGGGCTTGGAAATACCTATAATCTGCTTTTGTCCTCCCAGGAGGGTCAGGCAGGGCTGGCTACCCTCTCTTTCCCCAGCAGCTGGGGCTGGCTCTGCCAGGGCCAGCCTGGGGGGATGGGAGTGTCAGGAGCTGAGATCATGGGGCCTTTGCTCCCTGATTCCACCCTGGAGAGAGGGAGGGCAGCCCGGCTGGGTGAGAGGGGACAGTTTGTTCAGGACGAGGTCTAAGACAACTGGGTCCAAAGGGGACTGGGAGCCTGGATTCCTGGTCTGAGGGAGGAGAAAGCAAGGGGACTGGACTCCTGGGTCTGAGGGAGGAGGGGGGCTGGGTACTCCTGGAGGTTCTAAAGCAGAGTTGAACTGGAGCTGGGAGCTGACAGGGGGGCAGGGAGTTGGGCTCCATGCTCTGTTTACAGCACGTGGTTCTCACTGTCCCCTGTGGGTTGGGAGGTGGATCGGTGGCCACACCCTGGGCAGGCTGGGCCCCTCCCCGGGTTTATCGCCCCAGGCTGCTACTGGCACCAGCCGCAGTCCCACAGTCCAGCAGTCCTGCTCTCGGAGAAGCTCTGAAGAGGCCTAGAGGGGTGAGTGCACAGCCAGCTGAGCAACAGAATGGCCCTGAGAAACTGGAATGGCCCCTGGAAACCCGAGGGCCTGGAAGGGAGAGCAGACACCTTCTGGGAGCAGAAGCGAAGCAAGGTGCTGGGTGGGCAGCAGGAAGGAAGAGTCTCTGACGCCGAGGGCATCCCTATCAAGGAGGACCCTCAAGTGTGAGGAGTCAGGCCTAGTCCAGTTTCCGAGGGCCAGAGCTAGAAGCCCAGCCCCCAGAGCACCAGGAGGGAGGCATGGATCTGGATCTGTGTTTTAGTTCCGCTCACCGCTTTTATGTATGTCTGTTTTTTGTTTGGTTGTTTGGGTTTTGTTTGTTTTTTAGATAGAAAGGAAGGGGGAGAGATAGAAATTCGATTTGTTGCTCCACTTATTTATTCATTCATTGGTTGCTTCTTGTATGTGCCTTGACCAGGGAATCGAACCTGCAATCTTGGCATATGGGGATAATGCTCTAACCAATGAGCTACCAGGCCAGGGTGCTTTACCTTTTTTTTTCTTCTTCATGGTAAAGACTGCTTTATTGGTTGCAGTTAGTACAAGTCAATAAATAATGATCCCTAAAGAAAAACTCAGTTATTTATCAGCTTACTGAATGAAATTGAACCAACTGATTGCTGGGAGGGTAACTAAAATCAACCCTGCTTCTTGGGAAGTGAAGCCTTAGCCAGCTGATATACGGCATAAGTTGTTCCACCAACTGTAAGACTCATGCTAGCTCTATACAGGAAGGCATCAGCTACCCCACCCTTTAGATGCACTGGAATTCCATTATCCTCCTGAAATAGCTTTTGTTTCTCTGGAACTTTATTTTCAAACTGCCTGTGTGAAGCAGTTCTTATGGTCCTCTGAGTGCCCTTGACTGAGAATTGAACCCTGGACCCTCAGTCTACAAGCCAACACTCAAACCACTAAACAAAACCAGCCAGGGATCTACCTTTTTTTTTTTTTTTTAAGCCAAGCAGACATTTTATTTTACTTATTTATTTATTTATTTTAATATTTTATTGATTTTTTTTTACAGAAAGGAAGGGAGAGGGATAGAGAGCTAGAAACATCGATGAGAGAGAAACATTGATCAGCTGCCTCCTGCACACCCCCAAAGGGGGACGTGCCCACAACCAAGGTACATGCCCCTGACCGGAATCGAACCTGCGACCTTTCAGTCCGCAGACCCACGCTCTTCCACTGAGCCAAACCGGTTTTGGCGGATCTACCATTTTTTTAAAATATATTTTGATTGATTTCAGAGAGGAACATCAATGATGAGAGAGAATCATTGATTGGCTGCCTCCTGGGAATTAAGCCCACAACCCAGACATATGCTCTTGACTGTAATTGAACCCCGGACCCTTCAGTCCGCAGGTGGATGCTCTATCCATTGAGCCAAACCAGCTGGGGCTCTACCATTTTTAATGAAACCTTCAGCTCCTTAACACCTCTATGCCTCGTTTCCTCTCCTGTATAATGGGATGCTAACACTAATAGCTGAAACGTAAACTGAGGCTGTCTGTGTCTCAGTTAACAAGGGCAAATGAACAAAAACACACACAACGCTCTTAACACAGGATCTGGCACAGAGTGAACTCAAGGTCAGTGGTAGCAATGAGTATGAGTACTGTTATTCCAGGCAGAGAGCAGAGCTGGCCCGTGCAATCTAAGCGGAGTGGACAGGCCCAAAGGCCAGAGTGTCCAGCTGGGAGAGGAGTGAGGTGGAGTTTTGGGATTGCACAGAGGAACAGGAAGGGAGCTGGAGTTTGGGGGGAGGGGAGGTTCCACAGCCAGACTTGAGGGGCCAGGAAAGGGCAAGAGTGACTCCAGTTTTAAGTAAGGCTAGAATGATGAACTCCTTGGTTCAGGAAGAGAATTGGGACCAGGATCCTGGGACACCACCAGGTGAATGGGAATGGGTGGGCTAAGAGATAAACTCTCCCAAATACTGGTGGGGGGAAAGAGCCTGTGGGTGATGCCTTGGGCCTGAGGAGGTAGGAGGGCCTACAATCCTGGGTCCTGGGAGAGGGGACCAGCTGGAGTCCAGACAGAACTAGGAGTCCTGGATCAAGGACAGTAAATGGAGACAGAAGCATGAACTCTTAGGTCCCTGAAAGAAAATAGGGGTAGGAAGGCTCTCGGATGTAGGAGATAATGGAGCAAGGGAACCAACAGGGGAGATCAAGGACACCCGGGGAAGGTCAAAGCCTTGGGTTTGAACTCCTGGCTCTTGAGGAGGAAAAGGTCTGGGTACCTAGGCTCCACGGTTGGGCATAAAGGAGGAGGCTGGGTTCTGATGTGTGTATCTGAGGGAGGAAGGGGATAGGCCCCCGATGAGCAAGGTGTGATCCAACCCTGCTTAACGAACCTCTCCACTGCCCCCAGCCTTGCAGCTCATACACAACATGGATTTACGCACGATGACACAGTCGCTGGTGACTCTGGCAGAGGACAACATGGCCTTCTTCTCCAGCCAGGGTCCTGGGGAAACAGCGCGGCGGCTGTCCAGTGTCTTTGCAGGTGTTCGGGAGCAGGCGCTAGGGCTGGAGCCAGCCCTGGGCCGCCTGCTGGGGGTGGCGCACCTCTTTGACCTGGATGCAGAGACGCCGGCCAACGGGTACCGCAGCCTGGTGCACACCGCCCGCTGCTGCATGGCGCACCTGCTGCACAAATCCCGCTACGTGGCCTCCAACCGCCGCAGCATCTTCTTCCGCACCAGCCACAACCTGGCTGAACTCGAGGCCTACCTGGCCGCCCTCACCCAGCTCCGAGCTCTGACCTACTACGCCCAGCGCCTGCTGGCCACCAACCGGCCAGGGGGGCTCTTCTTCGAAGGCGACGAAGGACTCACCTCAGACTTCCTGCGCGAGTATGTCACCCTGCACAAGGGCTGTTTCTACGGCCGCTGCCTGGGCTTTCAGGTGAGCCCCCTGCCTTACCCTGGGCCCACGGTGAAGGCAACTGGTGGCCCTAACCGGGCCCAATAGTGTAGAATAACCACAAGGGTCATGGGTTCAGGAAACTGCGGGAACAGAAAGGGAAGCTGTCTGGGGCCCAGAGAGAGCTACACCAGGAACTCAAACATGTGGCCCCCAGCTGCATCCACCATGTAGCAAGAAACCTTTCATTTGCATAGCTTTTGCACCAGGTTCCCCACTGTTCTCCATGGCCCTATACTCAGGAGATCCATTCACTCTTTTATGTTACCTGAGATCATTTGAGACCCCCAAGAGGATAGTCAGTATTGTTTTCAAAGGCCTGTTTGTAAGTGCATCACTGGACGCCTGAAAGGGAGGAGGAGGGGTTTGAGCCCCATTTTACGGAGGTTCAACTGTACCCAGGTCTGCCTAGGCTTTTGGACTCACCTAAGGAGATGTAGAATCAGGATTTTCAGACTTAGGGTAGGGCCAAGGAGCAGATCTAAGTTGGTGACAGGAAAACCTGGTCTCAACCCCTCTCCTCCCTGAACTAGGACTTTGACTTCTGCCCACTGCAGGCCTTCTCCCCTCTGCTCACCCCAAACCACGCTCATGGAGACACAGCTCATCTCGGCACTAAGAGGGAGGCAGCAAGGAGGCCTTCCAATTCACAGGAAAAGTAGTTTGTGGACTCAGAGAATCGGGGGACCTTTGGGGCAGCAGGCTCAGAGCAGAAACCCAATTGCCCCTCCCTGGGGTCAGTGCCAGATCCCCTAGTCCCCCGGCCACGTCAGGGAACCTCACCAGGAGTATCTATAGCCCCTTTCAGACCCTCTCCT